AGGTGTTTCTAAGACCTCCGGTCTCTTCCGCTCACTCTGCCAACCAGTAGGCTATACAGTACCTATATGGGACCTGGGTTTGCCCTATTACTACAGTAAAGGGACTCAGCACACTACTGGTCTACTATATACAACATGTACAAGTTTACATGTCCTGCTGTAGTGGCAGCTGTAGGATTCCTGCCTTGGGTGATAAGACATACAGCTCAAGCTGAGCTATCTGCCTTGAGGGAGCTGGCTTGCATGAGGGAGGGATGACACATGGGAAAGGACATGCATGCTAGCCTCTGATTAGGGCGGGAATAGATAGTAGGACAAAATAAAGATGGTGACTTCCAAGGTTTTTGTCTTGGTTGCTTTTATTGCTATGATAAGACATGGAGGCAGCCTATAGAAGAAAGCGTTTAAATTGAGGACTCCACCTCCAGAGCATTAGAGTCCATGACCATCATGTAGAAGACATGGCAGCAGGCAGGTGTGCAGGACAACCACGAGGCAGAGATAACTAACAAAACCCACCCCCAGTGACACCTCTTCCAAAAAGGCCACACCTGATCCATCCTGAACAGTTCCAAGTGGAGACCAAGCATTCAAATGAGGGCCATTCTTATTTAAACCACCACAGCTTTCTATGTGTATGGGTGTGTGTGCACAGAACTGGAAACTAGAGAATAACTCTGGGTGTCGCCCCTCCAGTACATTCCCACTGCTGTGGAAGTAGAAGTTCTCACAAAATGGAAATCTCAGCTGCACCCTTAACGGGATGGTCAATGTTGCCTGCAAGTGAGCTCCTTGCATGGTGACCCGAGGCCCCACATTGGATCACATGTTGGTTGAACCCTACTAATAAGCAAAACTGGGGCCTTAGTGGATACTGGAACCAAATGCGCTTTAGTTTGTGGCAACACCCATAGGCAGCCCGAACAAGTGTCAGCAGATGGGCACAGAGGTAAAGCAGCACTTCAAAAAGACTAAACTTATCCTATGGGTGAGTAGTTCTTCCCCCACAATGCATATTTCTCCCCTGTAAGAAAACAATGTGGGACTGGAGAGATGGCTCAGCAGTTAAGAGCACTGACTGCTTTTCCAGAGGATCTGAGTTCCATTCCCAGCAACCACATGACAGCTCACAACTGTAACTCCAGTTCCAGGGCATCTGAAACCCTCAGGCCAATGTACATAAAATTAAATAAATTGAAAAAGAAAAACTGGCGTTGGGGACTGAAGAGATGATTCAGTGCTTAAAAGGCAGGCTGATCTCTGTGAGTTCAAGGTCAGCCTGGTCTACAAGAGCTAGTTCCAGGAAAGCTAGGGCTGTTCTACAGAGAGACCCGGTCTTGAAAAGCAAAAAAGCAAACAAAGCACTTGTTGCTCTTGCAGAGCACCCAGGTTTGGTTCCCATCACCCACATGGTAGCTTACAACCATCTGTGCCTCCAGTTCCAGAGAATCCAATGCCTTCTAACCTAGGGCAACAGGTCACACATGGTGTACATACATGCATGTAACAAAATATTAAAAAATTAAAACGGTGATACAGCTGGAATGCACCATGCACACAACCATTGGAGAATTCTGTTTGAGGAATGTATTTGGGTAAATTGGAGCCTATAAATAGATGATAGATTACTGTGTCACCCCAAGACCATTTTAGAAAGCAAATTATGTGTATAGTGTTTGCTTGTATGTGTATGCAGGTGTATGTGTACCACATGCATACAGTGCCCACAGGGGCCAGAAAAGGATCAGATCCCTTGGAATTGGAGTTACACCTGTGAGCCACAATTCCTGTGTAGGTGTTAGCTTGGAACTGAACCCAGGTTTTCTGCAAGAGAAGCAAGCAGGCCCTTTGAACATGGAAGTGTGGTTGAGGAGGCTAGATGGATCATACTCCATACCCAATAATGCTCTTTTGACAGAAAAACTGATGCAAATGGTGGGTTTGTTTGTTTGTTTTGGGTTGGTTTGGTTCTTGGGTTTTTTTGTTTGTTTTGTTTTGTTTTTTCTTTTTTGAGACAGGGTTTCTCAATGTATCTTTGGACCCTGTCCTGGAACTCTCTCTGTAGACCAGGTTGGCCTCGAATTTACAGAGATCCATCTGTCTCTGCCTCTGCCTCCCAAGTGCTAGGATTAAAGGTGTGTGCCACCATCGGCCGGCGTTGTTTTGTTTTTCTGGGTTTTTTTGTTTTGTTTTAGACCTTGCTGGCTTGTTTACTTTCCTCATAGTTGCTGAGTCCCAAGAGCAATTCTCCCTTGTTTTGAGTGGAAGGCAGTGAAGCTTCAGAGCTCCTGCCAAACCTTTGTATAAAGGTCCCATTATTTAATGCTAGCGTCTTAGTGTCCTGTGAGTGGCAAAACATCTAGGGAACAGTAAAAACAACATTTAAACACTCTGAGTGAAGGTTATCTGTGAAGAGGAAAAAAGAGCGGATAGGTTGAATGAAAATCTCAGTGCTAGGGCTAAGCAACCTCTCTGTGTATTGTTGGCCTGAGGACCAATAAAGCCCCTCATGCAGGCTTTTGCCATTATTGTTGCTGTTGGACAGAGTCTCCCTAAATAGCTCTGGCTGTCGCTGTCGTGGAGCTTACTATACAGACCAGTCTGCCTTGAACGTAAAAAAATCCACCTGCATTTGCCTGCTGGATGTAAGAATTAAAGTCGAGTACTGGGATTAGAGGCATGTGCCAGCAGGCCTATCTGACATGTCACTCTGCTGTTCGGTTTAAGGCTGTTACTTGCTGCTTGTTTCCTATTTGACTCCTCTGTTCTTTGTTCTTTCTCCTTTTCACCCATATCCATTTTATTTTAAATTGATCCCATTTTATCTTTGCAGTCTTACTAGTGATGTGCCATTTTTTGTGTGTGGGATCAAATCTAGGGCCCCAAATACGCTGAGTCAGTGCTCTGTCAACAAGCCACACTCCCAGCCTTGTGCATCTAATTCATTGTTACTTCAAGGTTCATTTGATGGAAGTGGCATATTCTGAGAAATGGACATTAGGCAGTTATATTGTTTTGTGATAATAGAATACTTAAACAAAAGACTGCTATGTCATTAGGTGTTGTATTGGACTGTCACTTGTTTTTCAGAATGTACCTCCAAGTAGTATACCAATTTGTGTAAGAACACAACTCTTGGAATATATACCACCATTTCCCCCTCCTTGTCACTTAAGTAACTGTTGTCATATTTTTCCTGAATATTAAACTTCATAGTCTATTGAACTGTGGCTTATAAAAGAAATTTGAAACTATTTTATCAATTTTATCATTTGCAGTTAGTTCTTCAGTTGCTCGAAATCTGCATCTAGAATCATTTCCTTCTCCGAAGGGACTCCCTGTGGCATGCTGGCATGCAACAGCTTGCTCCTGTTTGCAGGAAGCTCAGCTTTGGAAGGATATTTTGCTGCACATGTGTACACGTCTGGCTCGACTTTTCTTTTACTACCCTAAAAAACATTCTGGTCGCCTAGATGGCTGAGCTGGTAAAGGCACTTCACCAGGCCTGGCAACTTCAGTTTGAGTGGTGAGAGAAATAGCTCCCTCAGGTTGTCCTGATTCCACAAGAGGACCCACCTTCTAACCTCCCCAATAAATAAATGTAACAAAAATATCTTAAAGATACTTCATTCTTTTTCATTGGGGGGGGGGGGCGGCAAATTTGTGACATATCTTTGTGTGAGGTGATCTTGTGAAGTAGGAAAGCAACAGGCCACAGTCATTACCCCACAAGTATACAGGGACTGGGAACTAGCAGCCGCCACGAGGTGGTAGGAGGAGCTCAGACTCTGAACATATTCTAAAGTTAGGCTGCCAGGTCCTCATATACTGAACACAAGTGAGAAGAAAGGTCCAGTTGACTCAGGTCACTGGCCCAAATTCAGGGTGGGGCAATTGGCACACCTATTAAGTCAAGGCAATAAATAAATAAATAAATAAATATCGCGGGGCAATTGGCACACCTATTAAGTCAAGGCAATAAATAAATAAATAAATAAATAAATAAATAAATAGATAGATAGATAGATAGATAGATAGATAGATAGATAGATAGATAGATAGATAAATAAATAAATGTCGCGCTTCAGTACACACAAACTTGCTGATTGTCTGCTCTGTGGGTGGAGAACCCGGGCCTCAGAGTAGGGCAGACAGGGAAGGCCCGTGAATGCCACTTCTTTGCTGGGTGAAGCAGGAGCTAACAGAGAAAGCGCTGACTGCAAAAGGCAGCGCGGCGAGTTGAGAGAAGGATGAAGTGACAGTGGCCGGGATCTGTGCAACAGAGAGCTGGCCAGCGAGCGGACTGAAGCAGCGGGAGGTTGGTAAGAGCCAGTGACCTGGACATGGTGAAACTGTAGGGAAGGGAGCAAGCAGCTCTAGCCGTGAGCCATATCCTTTAAAATCATTCTACGCTGAGACAGAACTGACACTTAAAAATATCCGATCAGTGCAACCACTACCCCGACGCAGCCTTGCACTGTGCCTCCTCCGATGGTCCGGCCTGGGGGTGGACAGCTAGCTGACCCGGTCAAGGAGGCGGGCCGATCCCTCCCCACTGGACTTGCGCCCAGACTCTCTTCTGAGCTTTCTTAGCAGATGCGAGCCTCCTGGTGGCCAAGGAACTGATGCCCCGATCAAAACCTCTTTCTACGCCTGTGTTTCAGACTTCTGCCCGGGTGCCACCTCCCCTTTAAGAACTTGCTGCGCCCTCGCGCCTCCTTTTTCTCGCGCGTACTTCTTCTAGAACTATCCCGCCCCCTGGAGGCGCGTCTGCGTCACCGCGTTGCTGGGTCCTCGCGCCTGCGCTATGGGACCACCCGGGCAAATGACGGAGACTGGCGGGGGCCCCCTGGGAGGGGCGGGACAAGGGCGGTCGCGTCGCACGTCACGTTGACTTCCGCTCCTGCGCCGCGGGCCTTCGTGAATATTTGCCTGCTGCGCTCACGGACCTGTGACAGGCATCTCTCTCCACCGGAAAGGGTGGGCGAAGGGAGCTGCCGCATCCGGCGTTTTGTGTCACATCAGCCCCGGAACAGTGTCACTAGGTTTCCTGAGGCGGAGGGTCAGGCAGCGAGCGCGGCGCACCGAGGCTCATGACCGTCCTGTTCCTCGGCCCGCGGGGATGATCGGTCGCCCCTGCAGTGGTCCAGAGGCTATCACTAACAGAGAAAGTGTCCTGTGCGGCCAGCGTGCGAAGGCCAGTTTGAGTATAATTTAGTGACAGTTTCCCTTCAGGAGCCAGTACGGGCTTGGCTTCGACTCCCACACAGCTGACTGTGGACCGCCGGAGTTAGTGTCATCTTCAGAACCTTAACTAATTACCATCAAAGGTCTTGATGGCTTTCGGTGCCTACAGAGACACCCTAGGACCCTTGCCATAGTCCGCAGTACTTTGTTGCCAAAGTCCCAGTAAACTTTGTTGCTAAAATCAAAACTGTGAAGTGCTGGATGTTAACTCTGCATCTCCGCGTCCCTCGTTTCTAGATATGGATCACAAACTTTCACAATTGATAGAGGAGCTCACAACTTCAGGAGAATCTCAACTGAATGCTCAGAAAATGAAGGAACTGAAGAAAATTTGCAAGTATGTATTTAGGTTAAACGTGTATAGTAACTGGTCCAGTGAGCACCCACACTGAACCCTTCTGCCTTCTTGTGCATCTCTGCCACCTCCTGCCTTCACCACCTGGAAAGGAGTTTTCTAACCACTAGGGCATGGAAGAAGCACTTGCCTGATAGGAGATGGAGGCAGGAGGGTCATGAGTTCCCGGCCAGGATTGGCTACATAGTGAGACCTTGTGTCAGAAACTGTAAAGAACCACTGTAAGAGTTCCGGGGCTGTAATCTCCAGTGCACCCGTTAGTCCAGAATGTAGCACCGGGTCTAAGCTTGGCGCCTCTGATCATTTCAGTATGTTACAATGCAATCATAATATGCCAGGAAAATAGAGCTCCAGGGACGAACTCAGGAGCCTCAAGCATGATAGGCAAACTGTACTGAGCTACCCCTCGCTCTACTCTCCCTTTCTTTTTCCTTTCATTTGAGACAGAGTCTTATGTAGCCCAGGTTGACCTCTTACAATATAGCTAAAACTGGCTGTGAACTTCTGATCTTCTGCCTCCACGTACCAGGTGTTCGGTTGGGATCTTAGGCATGTGCCGTCAGTGTTCTCCCTGTTCTTAAGGTTGTTGTTCCCATCTTTATTAGGCCCTCTGAAGAAAACACCCTGCCTTGCCTCAGAAGGCAGTCATATTTAGCGAGGAAGCACACTTCCCTCATTGCCTTGGTCACAAAAGGAGAAAGCTTAAGTGATTATTTAGAAAGTGCTAGAATATATACATTTTGATAAAGCCTCTAGTCCAGGCTTGGTTTTGCTGCACACCCCAGAAAAGCTCTGCTCTCCGATTTACACAGGGTGTTGGAGAGGGAAAGAGGACTGTGAGCATCTTTCTGTTTCCTGTAGAAGAGGCGAGGGCCATGCACCTGAGACTGTCCTGCTAACAATGGCGTTTAGAGGACACCTCTGGAGGGGTTCCAGGTTTTTCTGTCTCAGAACAAAGACTTGAATAGAGACATGTGGATAGTAGCAAGTAGCGCAGGAAAATTTGTTAAGAATGAATATTCTTCCAAGGAGGAAGCTGGCTAGAGACGGGGGAGAGTTTAGCATCTCAAATATTCCTGGAATACAAAGAGCTCTTGTGTTATCTTATTGTGAACTTTCCCTGCTCTATCTGTTGTATTTCTACATGCATTCCTTGTCCGTGGTAGTTTGAATGAGAATGGCTCATATATTTGAATGCTTGGTCTCCAGTTGGTGAAATGGTCCGGGAAGGATTAGGAGGTGTGGCCTTGTTGAGGAGGTGTGTCCCTGGGGGTGGGCTTTGAGATTTTAAAAGCCCACACCATTCCTAGTTAGCTTTATTTCTGCTGTTGTTTCATGTTGTCTCAAGATGGGAGTTCTCAGCTATTGCTCCAGCACTATGCCTGCCTGTCTGCTGCCATACTTCCCACCATGATGATCATGAACTCACCCTCTGAAACTGTAAGCCCCAGTAAGCTCTTTCTTCTGTAAGTTGCCTTGATTGTGGTGTCTTATCATAACATTAGAAGACTAACTAAGACAGTGCCTCATTAGCATCTTAAATCCCGCTGGGGTGTGTTTTTAGTACCATAAGCTTTGTACAAGGTCTGTGGGGTCTCACTTTCCACCTGATATCTATGGTTTTAGGAATCCTTTGGGAAAACAAGGAAACTAAAGAATGGCAATCTGATGGCTGTTAATATGGTAACGGTGCTTCCTCTGCAAGCCTGGAAACCTGAGTGTAATCCTTCCTCCCAAGAGAAGGTGGAAGGAGAGAACCAGCTCCACAGAATTGTTGTCCTGCCGTCTCTACACATGTGCTGTGTAATGCACACCCACACATGCTTCAAGAGTCAAACACACAACAATAATCTTTTAAGTTAAAAAAAAATGATTATCTAAGCTTCCATAACTACTTCCATATCTCAGGGCATGTAAGAGGAACCACAAAACTGTTATCTAGTGACTGGGGAGGAGAATTCAGAGTCTCCAGCTTAGTCTGAAATTGCTGTATCTTAGATAACAAGAATTAGAAGACAAAGAACTTAAAAATCAATGCCCAAGCAAGAGTAATATGATTACTACAGCCAATGGCCTTGAACTCATTTGCTTTCTGTTGCTCTGATAAACACCATGACCAAAAGTAACTTGGAGAGGAATTGTCTATTTCATCTTACATCTTATAGTCTGTTGGTTGGAGTTGGGGGTGGGGGGATCGCGCAAAGATGGAGACTGACCACCAAAGTCTAATAAACCAGAAGCAAATTTTATTCCAGAAACCAGATTCTAGGAAAAAATAAAAAAATAAAATAAAAACTCTCCATGGGGCACAAAAAGCTTATCAGATAACTGAGACCACAGCCAGAGGTGGATTCTGTAAGACTGTGGCAAAGGCCAGTTTTTGAAGCCACCTTTTTATACTAGGGGCACCAGGCATTAGGTCTGTGTTGTAAAAGGAGCAGCGGGCTGCTTCCTGCTGCCCAACTCCCAGCTAGCTTTATACCCGAAATAATTACGCAGAAAACTGTATTCATTTAAACACTGCCTGACCCATTATATCTAGCTTCTTATTGGCTAACTCTCACATATTAGATTAACCCATTTCTAATAATCTGTATCGCCACTTGACTGTGGCTCACTGGCATGAGTCTAACCAGCGTCCATTTCGAAGAGGAGAGCCATGGCGTCTGCCTGACTCTGCTTTCTTTCTCCCAGCATTCTGTTCTGTCTACTCCACCCACCTAGGGGCTGGCTTATCAAAAGGCCAAGGCAGCTTCTTTATTTAACCAATGAAAGTAACACATACATGGAACACCCTCCTACACCAGTTCTGAACAAAGGAATTTTTACAATCTCGAGGTAAAACTCAGATACAGATTGCCTTACTTTACAATCTTCATTAACAGATTTTTTTTAGTTAAACTAGTGTTTGTACTTAATCTATTGTCTTCCTTGGTACTTCCAGGTGGTGTTTACTGAAGCCCTGTGCTCTCCCCTTTGATGCTTCCCATTTCACACAGCAAGGATAATGTGTAACCCAGAGGTCATATATCTATCTCCTAAAACTTAACTCAGCTCATGTCCATGTTAATCAAGGATGGCTGGGGTGTTAGGCTCTCAGTTTGCACAGAGATGCTTCAGCCTTGTAAATAGAGCTATGGGTTGTAAAGCGGAGTAACCCACTGTTAATAGTTATTCCTCAAGCTGCTGAGAAAGCTGCTGACAGTCTGTTCTCATTCTCCCAGGCTTACAACTTTATATTTCTTTATTTCTACATTTTTATTTTTGGAATATACATTTTTATATTCTTATTCTTGGACCCTTCATAGTCCATCAGGGCAGGAACTCAAGGCAAGAACCTAGAGGCAGGAAATGAAGCAGAAGCCATGGAGGAATGCTGCTTACTGACTTGCTTCCAGAGCTAACTCAGTTCTGGAACCAAGACCTTTATACAACACAGGACCTTCTCCCCACAATGAGTTTGGCCTTACCACATGACTTGCCTATAGATCAGTCTACCAGAGGCATTTTCTCAATTTGACATTCCCTCTTCCTGGATTGTCCAGCTATGTCAAGTTGATTAAAAAAAAAAAAAGCCAACACAAGCCTCTAAAGGACAAGAATCAGGAAAAAACAAGACCATGTGTTTGCCCAGGAAAACCATCTTGGTACAACTTGTCCCCAGGATACTTTATTTATTTTTTTGGTTTTTCGAGACAGGGTTTCTCTGTAGTTTTGGAGACTACCCTGGAATTTTCTCTATAGACTAGGCTGGCCTTGAACTCACAGAGATATGCCTGTCTCTACTCCCGAGGGCTGGGATAAAAAAAAAAGGCATACACCACCACTGCCCGGCCCCCAGTATATTTGAAATACTGTTTTGAACTTGTCTTAACCTCTTGACCCCAAACCAGCATTTCTCTTTGAACTTTAGGTAAACTCGCCCCTGGGCTGTTGCTAGCATATCAAGAGCCATCAAGTCTTGTAGAACAGCTGACCTCATTTTAACTTTTGAATTTAGGCGTGAGATAGATCACTAAGCCTTAGAAAAGAAAAAAGAAACCACACTGGTGGTTATGTATTGAGAATTTGAGATGCAGAAGAATAATTTCAAGAAGGAATCCCACGTTGGAATGGAGTAAAAGGAAAATAGTGTGATGTTATCATTATTGAATGTATATTATAACAACAGTATAAAAGATGTACTGAAGGGCTGCAGAGATGTCCTAGTCAGTCAAGTGCTTGCTGAATAAACATAAGGGCCTCAGTATGGTCCCCATCATACATGCGGAAAGCTGGGTATGGTGGCAGAGTTCTGGGAAAGCAGAGACATGAGGAGCCCCGGCTCTCGCCAGCCGTCCACCTTTATCTAAACTGAACTCAGGATCCCAGCAAAAGACCGTGTCTCAAAACACAAGTAGACAACTCCTGAGGAACAACATCTGATACCTCTGCCTTCATATGTACACACATTCACGCATATACACACACATGTACACATACACATGCACATGCTCACATAATAACATGGACACCCACCTGCATACACCCTTACAAGTAATGAAGAAAACTAAATACAGCATAAGGGTACTACTACTGATAGATTTGTAAATAGGACTTACCTTTATGTATACGAAGAAGTTAAGACATCTGTTTTGTTTGTTTGATGAGAATTTTTAAATTTTTTAAAAAATAGTTTGCTTATGTAAATGGCATTGCCTTTAAAGAATTCTTAATATTTTAAAAAGTTTTATTTATTTACTTTGTAGGAATATTTTACTCACATGCATGTAAGTGAACCACGTGTGTACTTGTGGTGTCCCCAGGAATTGGGGTTACAGATGGTTGTGAGCCATTATGTGGGTTCTGGGAATTGAACTCAGGTCCTTTGTAAGAGCAACAAGTGCTCTTAACCACAGAGCCATCTCTTCAACCACTCTGTAAGGCATCCTTGAGACTGTGAAGATTCAAAACAAGTTTTATTCTAGATACTAAGTTCTTTCATTAGTTGCTGGACTTCAAGAATAACTTGAGTTCTTTTAGTCTGGATGAGGTAGGACTCTGTCCACTCTGAGAAGTTGTCAGCAAACAACAGAGGCATTTGTTTCTTTAATGAATGTCTGAGCATTCTGTGACTGGTGTAGCATACAAGTACCCTGGATATCCACAAGTTATAGCTTAGCTGAAGAAGTAACGTATGGATGTAGGAAGGTTCATAACTTTTTGGTGAAGACCTCAAGTGGTATGCTTATTATTTGACTATGTTTTGGGCAATTGCAAAGGTTGGGACTGAAAACTAGTTCTTTTGATTTTTGAGCATTTCTCATCAACCCTGGTTATGCACAGGTTTATTTAGGAAGGGATCCGGGATTATTGCTTAATGCTGTGTTTAGTTACTTTTCAATTGCTGTCATAAAAACACTATGATCAGAAGAAGCAACTTGCAGGGGAAAGGGTTCACTTTGTCTTAAAACTCTTGGGTCACATTTCACACTGAGGGAAATCAGGGCAGGAACTTGAAGTAGAAAGGAGAAAGGAACTGAAGCAGAATTCGTCTAGGGGTGCTGCTTACTGGCTTGCTCAGCCTGCTTTCTTTACAGTTTAGGACTACCTGCCCAGGGGTGTGTCACCCCCAGTGGGCTGGACCCTCCTACATCAATATTAATCAAAAAAATGCTCCCACAGACTTGCCTATGGGCAGTCTGATGGAGACATTGTGGTTTTTTTCCAGATAACTCTAGCTTATGTTAAGTTGACTAAAAATCAAACAAACCCAATAATCAGGACATGCAGAGAACAAACCCCATATTTAACATTTCCCACCACATTAATAATTTCTGGAGGCACCTCAGTAGTTTCTACTGTTAGAGGAGGTATGTCACTGGGGCAGGCTTTGAGGCTCCAAAAGCCTCCTGCTATCTCCAAGTTCTCTCTGCCTCCTGCCTGTGGTTTAAGGTGTGAGCCTTCAGCTATTGCTCCACCATTGTGGACTCTAACCCTCTGAAACTCTAAGCCCAAATTAAACCCCTTCTTCTGAAAGTGGCCTTGGTCATGGTGTCCTATCACAGCAGCAGAGAAGTCGCTAAGACACAGAGAAACTTCTCTGGTTTTATCGTAGTTAACAGGTTTCTTAACTTTTCTTCTCTACAAGAAGGCTTTCAGTCACCAACCTACATCTGTGGGTCCCTGCTGGGGTTGTATGATCCCAATTAGTGGGTTCCTGATGTGGGAGGGTATTCACTCAGAATGCACAGAGGTGAGAGTTTGAGTAAATAATCTATTGGCATACTTCCTCTTTTTCTTCCTAGACCCTCTACTTTTTGTCAGGAGTACAAATAGTGAGGACCAAGTATAGATCCTTCCATCTTTTGACCAGACCTCTCACCAGCCAGCCTATATTAAGACCAGAAGATGTTACAGTAAAATATTGCTCTCTTTTTCTTTAGGTTCTCAGGATTAATATATTTCTTTGTCTACATGTTTGAAATGTATTATTTGTCTATATGTGCATATGTGCACACATTAGTGCACATGTGCATTCAAACAGGTGCATGCAGATATGACTTAACTCTTGTAGAGGTCAGAGGATGACTTGGTGGAGTTGGTTCTCTCTGTCCACCTTTATGTCGGTTCTAGGGATCTAACTCAAGATCTCAAGACATACCCAGCAAGCACATCCACTTGTTAAGTCATTTTGACAAAATCAAACATAGTTTCAGTTCTTGAAGATGCTTTGTAGCCAGGCAATCAAGGTAACAGAGGATGTATCTTAGGAGAGACAAGAAGCAGCCTCTGGGGGTAGAAAAATACCTCTCTTTGACTTGTATGTAGACTCCAAGAGACTCAATGATTCAGATGTCCCCCAGTCCATCACACTAGCTGGGATTCTAGGTGAATTGAGTGTGGCTTACCCAAGGATTAGAAATACTGCGTTGAGGCCCCAGCTTTTCTGTTTTTCATTCTTAACTAGAGTTGGAACCAGTTAGTGTTGTCTCTTGAAGGATCATGTGTAACTGGAGACTTCTCTCTGTCTCGCCTGCACCCACTGGACTGGTTTCTCTTTAGCTCACTGGTCCTGGCAACTGCTTGTAGACTAATCAATACTCAGAGGCTATTATTGATATAATTGTTTGACTGGTGGCTTAGGCTATAACTAGCTAGCTCTTATTTGTTAATTAACCCATTTCTAATAGTCTGTATATCACCACGTGACCTTGTCATTATCTTAGGTGTTCTGGCATCATGTTCTATCAGCAACTCACTGGCATTTCTCTCGACCCCACCTTCTTTCTCTCTCCCTCTCTGCTTGGATTTCCTGCCTAGCTATATTCTATCCTGCCATAGGCCAGAGCAGGTTCTTCATTAGCCAATGGAAGGACTGTATATTCACAGTGTACAGAAGGACATCCCACATCAATCATGTCCTGCATTAACGTTGCTGAGATTGGAATGCAAGTCCCTGCTACAGGCACATTTCTTCCTACTTTGATGGAAAAAGGCTTCTCCTGAGAGTCTCTAAAAAGTTCCAAAGCACTTGACTGCTCTTTCAGAGGACCCGAGATCAATTCCTAGCACCCACGTAGCAGCTCACAACTGTCTATAACTCCAGTTCCAGGGGATCTGACACCAATGCACATAAAATAAAAATAATAAATTATTTTTCAAAAATTCCCAGGCAGCTATGTTAGTCAGAGGTTTGCCTACATGGATGGTTCTGTATTTTTCCAGATTGTCATCAAAGTTAAAAATGGAAACAGGCAATCTTTCTCTTTGACTTTGGACCTCATATGTAAGAAAATATAAAATATCTGGGAAGCTAAATCAACAGCCTTAGAGATTGATTGTCTACTGTAAATGAACAAAACAAGGTAGAAAATCGGTGGCACAGGGAAGCTATCTAGAAGTCCAGAGCTACTAGTGAGGAGTTATGGGAAAAGGAGAGAGACAAGCAAAGCTTTCACAGTGCAGGAACGTACCAGGAGGTAGCAGCATACTCTAGAACTAGTGACAAAATGTGTTCCAGACAGGAGTCACTGCACCATTGCCATTGCCCAGCGCCAACTGGACAGCTGTTTGCAGAATTGAGTCTCTGAGCATCCATCCAGCACCCTCTCTCTCCTATGCTTGCCATCACCTAAGCCTCAGGGCAAGTGAAAAGAGGAGACACAAGAAAGTGCTTGCTGAGGGATGTGTGGATGTGATGTAATAGGCTCCTTTGAAATTACTGGTCATACAGGGAGTTGCCACTGGATGTGGTGTGTTTTTTCCTATTTTTAATTTTGTTTTGATTCAGGGTTTTACTGTGTAGCTTTGGCTGGCATGGAACTCACTATGTAGACTAGGCTGACCTCAGACTCATAGCGATCCACCTGGCTCTGCCTCTGGGGTGCTGAGATTAGAGTTATGTGCACCACAGCCAGCCCCTGATGTGTGACTTTGGCAGCATACCTTGATTCAGGAAGGGCTGACTTCTAACCTCTGCTCCTGCCCACAAAGATTTTCTTCTGGTGGGTGTATTCGAGCCACTGGCCTGCTGATGGTTCAGTGGCTAAAGCACTTACCTTACTTACAAGCTTGACAATGTGTGTTGGCTTTGGGAGTGAGAGAACCAACTCCTGAAAGTCGTCTTCTGACATCCACATGCATGCCATGGCATATGTGCACCTGCACTAACACACACATACAGTAGTAGTACAGCTTTTTAGAAAGGAAGGAAGGATATACTTTCAAGGGAAACTTATTTACATAGTACAAGCTTCCTGTATGTGTTCTGTTATGTATAGTTCTATATACAGCTTCATGTATCACATGACTCATTAACATCTTACGTTTCCACCCGGGGTTGTGTATTTTAGTGTTATCGTGAACCTTTGGTTACTTTCAGACATTCTGGAGTACCTGTGTTCCTGTGCCAATGGCAGTAGCATGTTTTAGTTGATCTTATTCTGGGGATTACCATCTTCTTTGCCAACTTGTTTTTTCAGCTAATCATGTAAGACTTTGCGTAAGGCCTTCTGAACCTTACCCTCTGCCCTATTTTCCTATCTTACTGCTACACTGTAAGACACACACTGAGGATATCAACTGTGAAAGCAACTGGGGACCATCAGGGTAGCGTGTTTGTGCACCATGTTCGTGCCTGCTACCCAGGGAGGCCTGAAGAGTATGTAGGATCTCCTAGAACTAGAGTTAGGGATGGTCGTAAGCCTCCATGTGACTGCTAGAAATCAAATCCAAGTCCTCTGGAAGAGCAAATAGGGCTTTTAACCACTGTGCCATCACTGCAGCCTCTGACATTTGATCCTTAATGTAATGCTCATATGTCAAAAAGTATTCTTTTATGTGTTTCAACCACAGTGTTTTTCTTTGCAGTGCTGGAGGTCCAGCTGAGGACCTCACACATGCTAGCCATGTGCTTTGTCGCTGGGCCACATCAGCAATGGCTTTAGCCATTTGAAAATGTAGAAAGAGTTCTTGGTTCATGGGCAGTACAGAAACAGGGCAGGAGTGGGCCACAGTTGGTGTTTAGACCCTGGTATGTCTATTCAGCTTTGAAGGGAAGAATAAAGATTGAGTGCTAAGCATAGTCCCTGCCACCTGTAACTGTAGTGTCCCTACACAAAGAGTGATGCTTATTTGTCCTTCGTGAGAGAGCATTTGGTTAGGCTAACTTGTGCCCTTAGGTCTTCAGAGGAGCAGCTGAGCCACGCCTACCACCTGCTGAAGACACAGCTGACCCAGGACCATGCTGAGATCCGCCTCTCAGCCTTCCAGATTGTGGATGAGCTCTTCACCAGGTCTCATCAGTTCAGAGTGCTGCTTGTTTCTGACTTCCAGGAATTCCTGGAGCTCACACTAGGCACAGATAATGAGCATCCCCTGCCTCCCCCACGGGAGGCAGCTCAGAGACTAAAGCAGGCAGCCATGCAGGCTGTGGAAGGTTGGAATGAGAAGTTTGGGGAGGCCTATAAGAAGCTAGCCTTGGGCTACCACTTCCTAAAACACATCAAAAAGGTGAGTCTTGGGCAGGACAGTCTGCTTCCCTGTGGTGGGAAGGAGCTCTTTTCATTGAGGGTTTGGCAGGGTGCACAGCCCTGGGTAGGCAAGACAGCTGGATCAGCATGCAGTAGAATGGAGGATGTTCCCTAAAGGTCAGAACAGCCTTGGGGAAGAAAACTGCACCTGGCACCTGCCTGAGAGTGGAGATAAGCCTGTAGAATCATACTCCTAGATGCCCTCCCTCTGCTTTAGGATGGGCTCCTCTTTCTGGGACATACCCTATTCTTGCCAGTAAGCCATGCTTAGTTCTTGCCATGAGCTCTGACTGGTGCTGGGTTTAGTAGGACACCAGGTTCTGTTCTGTCTTCCAGCCCTCCTGTCGCTGCTCAGATTCTGTCATGCCTCTGTCAGCAGCACAAGCAAATGGCTGGACCTTCCTAAATCATTATGGTTCTTTTTTTTAATTATTTATTTATTTATTTATTTATTATGTATACAATATTCTGTCTGTGTTTATGCCTGCAGGCCAGAAGAGGGCACCAGACCCCATTACAGATGGTTGTGAGCCACCATGTGGTTGCTGGGAATTGAACTCAGGACCTTTGGAAGAGCAGGCAATGCTCTTAACCTCTGAGCCATCTCTCCAGCCCCATCATTATGGTTCTTATATGGGTGTCACCTACTCTCTGGAGTGTAGGCGTAGTGCTCTTACATTTCCTGACTGCTTGGACCCGAATAATCACACAGAAACTATATTAATTATAACACTGCTTGGACAATAGCTTAGATGTATTCCTAGCTAGCTAAATTAACCCATTTCTATTATTCTATGTATTGCCACGAGGCTGTGGCTTCCTGGGTAAGGTTCCAGCATCTGTCTCCTTCAGCAGCTGTATGGCGTCCATTGACTCCACCTACTCTTTCCATTTATCTCTGTTTGGATTTCCTGCCTGGTTTTGCTCTTGCTAAACCATTGGCCAAAACAGCTTTATTATTCAACCAATAAAAGCAACACATATACAGAAGGACATCTCACATCATTGGAGTTTACTCCTGGGTGGTGTGTATGTTCTAGGTCTATCTGATAACCCCTGGCCTGCAGTTAGAGGAGCATCTGCTTCCCAACAGTGTTGAACTTGTCATTGGATGTGGAAGATGTGGCAGGATGATGCAGCCTTGTTTGAAATGTTGTAGATTAGAAACCATCAAGTTGTGGCTTTGTGTTGATGGCACTGTATCTTTTTGTACTTCGTGTTTGTGTTTGCTGTAGGCAATCCTAAACTTCCTTTTCAATTTCTCAGGTGGATTTTCGGGATGTCAATGTTAGGTCTTTGGCAGAAAGGAAGCGAGAAGAGGAGAAACAGAAGCACTTGGATAAAATCCACAGAGAAAGTGCTGAACGGGCTAAGAGAGAAATGGAAGGTAAGTTCCTAGGTTAAGCCCTTGAAACTGCCCCCTGTGGTCCCTTGTGCTTGTTTCCTAGTTGTTTTTTAATCTAGCCTGAGACCATGCAGGTAGGTTTGCAAGACAGAATGGTTCAGGATGATGTTGAACCGTCACAGGCTGCCTGTAGTGCATGTGTCTCCTAGTGATTTGGTCTTCCTGTAACTATTTGACGTAAGTCTCTGAGCAGAGGAGCTGGGCGTAGTAGCTGTGACTTCAGGAAGGAGTCTATACTCTGTCACTAGCTAGAGGCCTTCTTGCCCTTTCTTCTCGTGTCCAGCATCTGTTCTTGCTAGTTCAGTTCCCCAGATCCTCATCCTTCCTGGGAGTCGACCTTTGTGAGATGGGGCAGTGCTCTCTGTTCTCGAGAGCAGGTCTTAGGTTCTTTCTGTGTCCAGAGCCTCTCACATACACCTGTCCTGTGAAAACCCAGGCCTTGGGGGAAGGCTACAGGAGACAGCTGTGCTGTGAATGGTTTAGAGGGCTCCAAGAGGGTGCACCCGGTAAAGTATGTAGTGGTGATGACCTCTCTGGGACCCCTATTCTGAGTGAAAGGCTGGCCTGTGGTAGTGGTCACATAGGCTCCTGTGAACTGCCACACAACCGTGATCAGAGATGTACTCCAGAGACTGAGCTATTGTACTAATAGTTTATTAAATGGTTGGAAGTGTTCTGATTTATGCACCAGGGCATTGGCTTTCCTCGGTGGCACCATGATCTTCACTTTGGTGCCCTGGGGAGCACCAAATAGGCATCTATTGCTCTTTGGCTCAAGATGACAGAATAAGCAAGTGTTTCAATGTCTGCAGAAATGTCTGATGAAATTGGATACAGCCTGACAGAAGTGGAGAACTGCTTTAAACTGCTCGTGCCCTTGGACTTTGGCCCATACCCAGAGGATAAATTCTTTGGTGAGGCATCTGGCATAACAGAGGGCCATGTTCCTTATGTCTTGAGCCCAGACCTGGCAACTTCTCGTGAGTCTGGTCTCCCTCTGTCTCAGAATGAAGAGCAGCCATGCTGTAGCAAGGACCTGGTTGACTCTGCAGACCATGTAGGATCTGTTGTTGGTCTGAAGGCACTGGCCCTAACAGCCACTCAAGACCCCTCCAGGGATGAGGATGAGCACAGTGACCCAGAGGAGTTCCTGAGGAGCCATGGACTGGGATCCCACAAGTACACACTGGATGTGGAACTCCCCTCAGGTAACTGACTGCTGGGGCTGTGCAGTGCCTCCATGCGCTGCCCTGGCCTACCAAGGTTTGTAGCTCCCTCACTGGCACTGGTTGTCTCATGGTAGAATTTAGACTTGGGAACTGCAGTTTCTTGGGTTGGGCTATAGAGGGACCTCCATCTGGTTAGTCTTTCCTGTGTAACTCTTCTCTGAGTTTCTGCCACCATGGGATTCTCAGTCATTATAGTCCTATACTAAATGAGGTTATGAGCAGGGATACAGACTCCATGGCAGCTGTATGGCCATCCACCTGAAGGTCCACCAGGGGCACCTTCCTAGGAGGAAAATGTGATCAAAGTATGATTTCTTGCTGTGTTTACAATGACGGGGATGTGGCAGAGTTGTGCCTGGCCCTAGCATTCCAGCCTTGTGGGTACAGAGGTGCTTACTTGTCCATCTCTTGATCTTGGTTGGACCAGATGTCCTCACAGGTGCCATCTGTTCACCTTGTGGAATATTGTTGGTAGGGACTGGTGCTCTTCAGGATCCACAGCTTTAAGTTAATATCGCTGATGTACTGCACCTTGCCTTGGAAGCATACAAGTGCTAGTGAGCTCCTTTCTGGGGGCCTGTCTAGCAGGTGTTGTGAAGGAAATGAAGACCCTGTCAAGAAAAGGCAGAATGGCAGGTGTCACTGAGACCCTGGGACCAAGAGGTGGAGGCAGTCCTAAGAGAAGAGGAAAGAGAAGGTGACTGAGCAGTCTAGCCCTCTGGCTGGGAAGCCAGGGCTGGAGCAGTGGAGCTGTGTGAGGGGCAGCCTCAATGCAGAGCCAGAATGGTTGATACTGTCCCAGAGTTTTTCCACATGGTATGTTTTTCTCTCAGAGTTGACCAGTGTCTGGGACATGCTTGGAGTCACATTTCCAATGGGCTTCATGGCTTCTGCTACATGACTGGCCTTAGCATCCCTCTGACTTGCTTTGCCTTGTTTTAGATGGTCTGAAGGTGCAAGAGAATGAAGACAACCTTGCTGTCCTCCATGCTGCTAGAGATTCGCTCAAACTCATCCAGAACAAGTTTCTGCCAACTGTGTGCTCCTGGGTCCAGGTGAGGCTCAGTACCTGGTCTTCAGCAGTGAACTTGGGCTCCAAGACCAGGCAAAGCAAGGATGTCGAAGGCGGGAACACTCATCTGGGTGGGGATGAGCATTTCCCCTCCCCCTAGAACTTTGTCCCTTCCTAGAAGGAGGGCTAGGCCATGGGTCTCCTGGCCAGATCAGGCTCTCTGGGGATGGGCTGGGCTTCACGAGTCACGCTTTGTTTTACAGCGGTTTACCCGTGCGGGGATCTACAGTGAACACTTAAAGCAGGCCATTGACCTGAAAATGAAATTGCAGCTTGCTCTGAAGAAATGTGAGGAACTGAACATCAAGCCTGAGAGAGAGCCGAGGAGTAGGGTGAGTTCCTGGAGCTGAGGCTGAGAGGTCCCAGGAGTCTACACTCGGCCATTTGAGCAGGCAGGCGTCACCAGCTTCAGAAGATTCTGGGCTTTTCCTTACTGAGTTTTTATGGTGGTAGTCCCAGATCAGTCTCTCCCGAGAGATGACCTACCTGCTCCTCTTCACTTGGGGTTCAGACCTATCCCTCAGCAGATCTCTGTGAAGTCAGTTCATGGTGGCTGCATTCCTGTTGTTAGGGTCTGTTCACCCTGTGTTATAGCCAAGGATACTTACAAAGTACTGAAAACCCATGCATCAAGGGCTCCTCCTGAGAGCCTAAAGAACTAGACTGTGCCCTGGCCTAGTGTTTAGTAGGTGGAGGCTTCTGTGGAGTTGCTATCTAATAGGGAATCCTGTCTCTGGGCAGGACAGACAGAATGAAACCTTCAGAATGCTCTGGTGCAGTCAGGTGAGCATGGCTATTGTGCCCTTTGGGATGGGGACCTGAAAGCCACCTGCCTGTTGGATTGCATGTGGCCTCAAACTCGAATAGGCTAGGTTGTTTGTGGGCAAAAACAAGGTATTTTTGAGATTCAGGGGGTTGACAAGGTGCTGTATCTCCTTGAGTGAGGATCTAGTGTTGAAATAGAACAGGGGTACATGGGTTCTCTGGATGGGACCAGAGAGATGGGAGTCCCAGACAGGACCAGAGAGAGGTGTGGGGCATGTGTTCTGGGTGCCTGGTAGTGGGTAAGGATTCAGTCCTGTAGTGACCTAGGAGTCACCGACGCCATCCATGCCAGGTACACTGGCAGAGTGTATTGCTGTACCTGAAAGAGGTGCTGCACTTGGAGTGGGAATGGAGATCCTGGGCCTGAGGGCTGCATGGACCTGGGGTTCTTCACAAGTCATCACAGAGTGGGGAGATGGCTGCTGCATTTGGGTAGATGGGGCTTGAGGTTTTGGTTGGAAGACAGAAAACTGTCACAGTCCAAACTCTCTCTCTTCTCACAGCTCCCAGCTGACAGTCATCACCCATGTCTCTCTCGGCTGCTTCTAATGAAAACGTTTTGCATTTATCTGTGGGAGTCAGTTCTCTCCTTGTAGCATGTAGCTCCACAGACAAGAGCCAGGTCCCTGGCAAGTGCCCTTCCCCGGCTGGAACATCTCACTGGCTCTTCCCAGCTGGTTTCCAAACAGAGAAAATAGACGTTAGAGCTGCCTCATCCCCATGGAATTATGTTTGAAACCTTGACCCTTAGTCTGGTCTCTGAACAAAGCCTTAGAGCATTGGTTCTCAACCTGTGGGTCAAGACCCTTTCACAGGGTCAGATATCCTGCATATCAGATGTTTACATTACGATTCATAACAGTAGCAAAATTATAGTTACTATGGTTTGGCATTAGCACATGAGGAAGTGTATTAAAGGGTCGCAGCATTAGGAGGGTTGAGAACCACTGCCTTAGAGGTTAGCTAACCTGGTCAGTCTGACTAGTAAATTCTGTTTTGGAAGCTAGCTTTGAGGTGGAAACAGCACCGCCTTTACTGAGGAAAAGCTCAATTTTGAAGCCATCCACTGCTCCAGCTTAAAGTCAAGAGGACACACATCTAACATTTAGAGACCCTGTTGACCCCTTGTGGCAGCTGAAAGGGCAGTACAGGAAGTGCTGGGACCAGATGGGGTAGGAGGGAGCTCCTGACTATTCTGCTGCTGCCCGCTGGTCCCAGCTTTACAGAGGGTATGTGTGATGTGGGCCAGCAGAGGGCAACCTTGCTTCTCTTTCAGTGGGCCAGCAGTTGCCTTCATGGCAATGATGGAAATACTGTGCCGCACCTGAGTCTGTCTGGCGGTTTTGGTATGTGGGTTAACATCTTGTGAGAGTTGCATTTGGTTGTGTCACTAATCAAGTCAGATTTGTGAATCTTGAGCAATATATGTCTACAGCAGAGAGCGCTTCTCCAGCCCTCACTGTAGCAGTCAGGAGGAGTTCATCTCTACACTCAGTGTCCAAAGTCATCAGTGCTCCAGGCTTGGCCAAGACTGGGAAGTGGAAGTTTACCTCACTATTTTGCTGTGTACCCCAGTCCCTTCCTGAAGATCTCAGTCAAGCCAATTACTACACTATGTGAACAGTCACCTTGCTGATGGGCCTTGGCAGTACAGGGACATCTTTGGGTAGCTGGTGTTCCAGGGACTGGCCATAGAACTTTGAGTACTCTTGGGTAGCACAGAAGGGTTTTTCAAAGGACTAGGTATTACCAGCTTGCACTATCTTACTGGGACCAGCAGCAATGCTGGGGCTGGCAGGACTCCAAGCCCTGAGGGTCTTAGCAGTGTGGCTGTTCTCCTTGGCCTGAAGCTTTGTCGGGTTGACAAAGCTGGGTGTTGTTGGGCACTGTTGTCTTAGCCACATCCCTTGGCTCCATATTTCCTGAGTGCTGAGTGAGCGGCTGCTGTAGGAGACCTGAGCAGTCTTCCTCTGATACCTTTGTGGGTGGTGAAGACATGCAGCCTCCTGGGTCAGAGCTCTATATTGAGTTCAGCCAGCAATGGGTGCTGCAACTTCTGTCCACAGAGCCCACGTAAGAAGCACCATTTTTCCTATGTGGCTTGTACCTATGTCTCTGTTACCTGTTTGGTAATGGCCAAGCATACAATGCCACTGAATGGAAGCTGGTCCTGGTGGTGAAACCCTGTGATCCAAATTACTTGAAAGGCTGAGGCAGGAGGATCATAACTTCAAGACCAGCTTGGGCTACAGAGTAATTTCTAGGGCTGCCTAGGCAACTTAGTGAGCCCTTGTTTCAAAATAGAAAAAGACCTGGGGATTTAACTCAGTGGTAGAGTGCTGCCTAGCATCTTTGAGGCTCTAGGCTCAATCCCTGGTACTACACCAAAAGAGACTGAGTAGCTTGCCCTGACTCCTGCTAGCTGTCCTAAAGCATCTGCTGTCCTAGCTTCCTGTTGTAGATCTGCCTTTGGTGTAAGGGGGCGTGGGCCCATAGTAGATGATCAGGACATGGCTATGTCAGTACTTTGGCTCCCAGGACTGAGGGCAGTTTCACTGGTCATTTCCTAACTCCTTTGGGACACAGCTCCAGGAGTCTGAGACCCAGCACTTTAACATTGCAAGGACGGTCTTCCTGTGGTGCATGGTGGGCAGTCTTGGGTTGATGTGACGCCCAGGGCCTGCACTGTTTCCATTATCCCTTGTTGTACCCAGTGACTCCTAGCCTGATCTTGTCCAGATTAGTCCATGTATCCTGTGCATCTCAGCAAGCAGTGGCCCTCCCAGCTGGAGCCTGACTACTCTCACTTGTGCCTTGGGCTCTGCTGTGAAGACAGGCCCTTCAGGGCCTTTGGGGGAGTCCTCTGACTCCTCTGGTCACACAGGTCAGCACACTAACCCAGACCATCTGGGCCCAGTGAGGTGGCAGCCCATGGACTGAGGGTGCCCCACCTTCAGTGGCAAGGCAGGTAGTGCTGTGCTCTGCTCTCAGTTAATGGACACTTCCTAGACCTGTCTCTACAAACTGATTTTAACAGAAGGCACTGCTCTGAAATCCTTGGAGATTTCGCTTGCCGCAGCTGGAGAGTGAGTGAGGCGCTGCTTGTAGATGAAGTGATTGGCGGCTCCCGGACTGTGAGTGGCAGCGCCCAGGCTCAGGTGAGCACTGCTTCCCAGAATAGATTCAGCAACTGCCTATCTACACATCGCCCGCCCTTCCTGCAGCTGGTGGGCAGCTCCTTGCAAGGCTGCTGCGCCACAGTGTCGTGTGGGGGAGGGGCAGGGAGAGAGGGCTAATGAATGTCTATGTTAATTAGAGCTGTTTTAATTAGAAATCATGATGAGGTGTTCACTAATTTCCAAATAAAATTTACGGAGGGTTTAAATCATTTCCTAGTGTTTCCCCATTTAGCACGGGATTGGCATCGTTAACTCCTCATGTAGAACAGGCTGAGCAGGGAACACTAATTCAATAATGCATGATTTAAACATTTAAGAACTTCTAACAAATGTGTGAGATTGAAACAAATACAGTGCTACTAGTCATAAACAGCAGCCCAGACTTTGGACAGGTCCAGGCTGTCTTTGGAAGGCTGGTTTGATGCAGGCTGTGCTGGGTAGTCCCCTTTCTTCCCAGGCTTCTGTGGAGTCCAGCCCCAGTTCCCATTTGAATGTTGCCATTGGTTTCTGCACAGTATTGCTTTCCTTTTGACATAGATGGTCTATCTTCAAAAATACTTAAACCAGTTTAAACATGTCTAAGCATTTGCTTTACAGAGTGTGTGCACTTCAGCTCAGTTTGGTGGCAGGCTGGGGATAAATCTTGACCCGATCAATGTGGAAGGCCATTTGGTGGAGTTAGTTTCCACCTGCTCTGTTACAGAAGAGCTGTAATAACCTATGGCGGCCTCATTATTTAAACTGATAAAAATCCTTTGAAAACTTTTAAATTGCCTGCCTTTTCATTATGGAGCTCTGATCATGGTTAGTTTGTGTTATGTAATTAACAAAATACGAATTTCTACCAGCTGGTGGTCAGAGCGGTGATTGCAGACATCAGTACGTCTGACTTATCAGCAGCTGCTCTTTCCTTCCTGGACTGTTGGTCTACCTGTTCATGTGGTTATAAATGTGTCTTTGTGCACACCAGTCTTATGGGCCATGTGGCAGCAGACATCCTCATGGAACCACGGACTCATCTTCGCCCTCTCACAGCAATAGAAATCAATCTGTTTGGTTCATGCTGTGCAGCCTTGCTTGCTTTCTGTGTTGGGTGCTGGACAGCCTGCCTTTCAGATCAGCCTCCTTACCAGGCCCATGGGTGCTATGTCGGGAGCTCACCCAGGCCCAGCTCCTTTTCTGCTGAGTGTTAAGAAAGCTCCCTAGGCTGTGCAGGATTTGCTTCTTGTAGGTGAAAAGGACAGAGGCAGAAAACCCAGGGAATGAAATGTTGAACCGTCAGGCACACCCGGGGAAAGCAGGGAAACTAAATCAGCCCTTGCAGGACCTTGTGCAGCAGCAGGGCCCGTAAACAGCCTTCTCAATGCTGTGCTCCCTCCATCACCCTGAAGGCCAGGCACGCACCCAACAGCAGGGAGTGGGGAGGGCTTTGAGCATAAGTTCTTATGCTCACGGGTGGGAGCAAATGGCTCTGCAGCCTGTCCACCAGCTTTTACCCTCCCATGCCCTACTGCATGGATTTGGTCTTGGTTTTCCCTGGCTCTAATGTCCAGCCCAATCATTTGTCTTTCCAGAATGAGCTAGCTCTCAGTACCTTCTCATATGTTGTTTCTGTAGCTCTAGGAGTACCCCATCCGATTATTTCCTCCATTTCACAGATGAGAAAGCAATCTGGTGGAACTTGTTTGATCTTGGCCCTCCTAGAGTCCCAGATGCAGAGTGAAAAGGCTGCCTGATGCATACGGCACCCACACCTTTGGGACAGGCCACACAACATAGCATGGCCTCATGTTCCCAGAGGCTGGCCACCTGCTTTCACCTGAGACGGCAGCCAAGGCTCGGGGAGGGCCCTGTTCCAATCCTGGCAAGTGTTAGCTGTGAGGACACACTCCTCCCCTGCGTGGTTGGCTTTCTCTGCACACTCCTGGGAAGAATGATTAGTGATTTCACACTTCATTGGATGTTAATGTGTGGAGTTCACATAACCTCATTCATGATAACTCTCCCTGCCTCTGCACCACTCACACAACCTTGTCTTTGGGAGCATGTGTATGTGGGTTCCCAGAGAAGCTGGTTTGAGTATACCCATTAGGAGCACTGTAAACCCAGAGCACCTGGCCTGTGTCCACCTAGGCTCCCAGGCCTCAATTTGATTAACAGTATGTGACTCCCTTACCCATCTGACTAGCTAGCTGCTTGTTTGGATCCAGCAGAGATTTCTAGTCTTAGCCTTGCTGTAGAAATGGACTTCCAGGCACATTCTAGGCACACCAAGGCTCTTTGCCTCGTGCTTTGTAGCAGGCTAGACTCAGCTCTTGAGCCCCAGTTCCAGGAAGCTCCCTGGCACTGGAGCTGTTGCGCATACTGGATTCTCAAGGGCAGGTTTCTGTAGACTGTTCCACACGTGTTTCAGATCAGGGGAGAGGAGGAGAAATGCCCATCCCTGTGTGTCCTGCAGTGTTATTGTGAGATCCCTTGTGTATGTGGCCTTTATAGAAACAGTCATTCCAGAAAATGAAGTTTTGCTCCAACATAATGTTTGGACTTGAGCATGTGTTCGAGTGCCCTGCCTGCATCTGGGCAGGTTTGACTCAGTGACACCAGGTGCCTGTTCTGTGTTATCACGTGGTGAGCACCACTACACCCTCTGTCCTCTGAAGGTGCGTCCCTGGCAGCCGAGATGCACATGAGATATTGGCCTGGCCGGGCAATTTGCACGGCCTTCCAGGGAGGGCATTAGCATATAAATAGCAGATGCAATGACGGCCATCACAGCTGAGCACGTTTAATTTTTAGTTTATAAGATAGAATGGGTTTTTAAATGCATAGCCATCAAGCCGCTGAAAGACAAATGCAGTTTGGAACTCACTTGTCTGACGAGGCCTTACATCATTTTTTTTTAAAAGGGAAATAGACACACATAAAACTGAACAAAAGTGATTTCTTGGGTGAAAAGTAATTGAGATTGCGCACCAAGTTAATTAGATCGTACAAAATTTATTTAATGGTCTCAGCTGTATCTCTAGGCTGTGGGCTTGGCGGCCATGGCTTTCTGGATGTTGAGATGCTCTTCCCATTCCTTCGCAAATAATTAGCACTCACCACCCTACTTCTGTAAACTGATTGCGTTGTATATTTTAGCCATTTTATTGCTTGTTTAATTATGATCATGACGACTCATTTTTCTAAATCCTTTTAACTGTGGGTGAGAATCAATTTGTATAAAACCAGCAGTGCCCCCACCATGGCAACAGTAGTGGGTAAAAGCTTGTGTCTATCCTGTGGGTGGATGAATTGGCCCTCTGTAAGGATCTGTAGCTCCCACCAGGGGGTGCAGCTTGGGAGAAGACATCTGATTGGCTGGAAGGGTTTCTGACCACCACCCTATCCTCAAAGGCACCCAAGGGTTTCACCTGTCAGAAAATCTCCCGAGTGAGATGCCTGTGCTGATGTGTGGCTCCCATGTGCAAATCTCATTAAGGATTGGTCTTTCCCTCTGGCTTCATGTAGTTTGTGTTATATTGTTTCCCAAAAGTAGAAAATTTGGCCCTCTCTTGGGATAAGAGTAAATTGTTCTTGAGAACATTTCAAAAGTCTAGCCTTATTTTGAAGATATTACCAATCCTGACGCCTTTTTATCAGGTGTGAGCTCTTTCCCAGGACCCTTGGTGTCCAACTATTTTCTGCAGACCCCTCTGGATGCTGCCTCCTGTCTGACCTCCCATGGGACTTTAGAGGCAGGTTACTACCACAGTGGCCATGACCTCTTGAGATTCTAAAATAGTGAGTGGAGGCTGGTCACCTGAAGTTCCAGATTATCCCATGAAGGTCTTCTCCCCTCTGGGCCTCTGGGCTGTGTTACCTTTCCAGGGGACTGTCCCTTGTGGCCATCATGTTCCTGGCCAGACTCCTGAGCAGGTCACAGGAGTGTCCCTACAGTAGAGCTCTGAGGTTTTCCACATCAGAGTATTTTCCTGATCCTCAGGTGTGGCTCATCTGTCCGCTGTCCTTAGTATCTTTGGCACCAAGGATTTGCAATGTTGATATTTACCAAATGTGAATTCAGATTTCACATTAGTTTCACTTACGTGTTAACAGTGGCATCTCTAGATTCCAGTTGTTGCAATGTGAGGATCCCATCTCCGAATAGTTGCAGAGTCAAGTATAGAAATGACTGGCATCTCTCTGTGGCTCCAGAGAAAGCCTGGGTCTTTTCAAGGCAAACGCAGACAGCCAAAGGCCTTATCAGTACTAATTTAAGAACAAGAAAGAAGCCAGTGCTTCAAATTTAATCTTAAAAATAAATGATTTAGTTGGGGAGGAAGAAGATAAAATTCTAATAGTTACCTAAACAGTTGAATATTTTTAGGGAATGCAATTTTGATAAAAAGTCCCTAGCAAAATTCAAGGGTGTGAGCAATAAGCATAATATTTTATGAAAATGACCCCCATATTTAAAACCTGGCACTATATGTTATGCATTGTAGCACCCAGCCCACATCTACCTTTTAGAAAATTAAAACACATAAATTCTGTTTAGTGTTTGATACGCACTGCACTAGCTGAGCCGGTAATGCCCTAAAACCTTGGGCTGCTTTCCACCTTTCATAAATTCCTGGGTAGATTCTATACAAAAATAATTTTCAGGTCCGTGGCTCATTGTTATTCAAACGTGATTGATCGTCGTCATTTGCTCAGCGCGGGAGTTAAGTGCCCCTGTCATTTCCAAAGAGTATAATTGGGACGTTTCACAGGTCAGCGGTGGAGACAGGCTTCCCTTTTGATCAGTGTTAGACTGATAACAAAAATTACAGTTTCCGATGATTAATGTCTCCCGTGCTTCCCAGATGCATGACTGTGGGCTGCACCAAAACAAAGTGCATTTGCATCTGATTATGCTCTCTCGGGCAGCAGTCGCCCAGACTGGGGCATGGGGCCAACAGGCACAGCCAGATGTGGCTGCTGATGGCTTCAGCAGCCCCACGGTGGAGCTTGGCTCTACCTGGGCGGGCAGCGTGCTGAGCTAGGCCATAGGCAGGTGCTGCTGTAGATGCCGCCATGGTGGCTGTCATTTGCACGGCTTGGCTTCCAATACACGTGGCTCCTGACCTAAGAATAGAAGCTACTCTTTAGATGTCCTTTCTCCTTTCAGGAGATAGTTAGGATCATGAGAAACATCTGTGAATTCAAAGTTCTGTTGGAAGTGGTTTTTAAAAAGTTTTTCAAAGTTTTTCTTAAAACCCTATAAGAGTCCCACTAGTTGGCATTCACTTGACAAGGGTTCTTCTTGCCTCAACTCTGCCCTGGAGCTTTTGTTTATTTGTTTGTTTGTTTGGTTTTTGTTTTGTTTTGTTTTGTATTTTGACACAGGGTCTCCCTATTGTCCAGAAATTTTCTACATACACAAGGTTGGCCTCTAACTCACAGAGATCCCCCTGCCTCTGCCTCTCAACAGCCCAGTCCACTCTCAGACATTGATGGATACTCAGTGCAGAGCTCCTGATGGTCAGTTAGGGCTCTATGGATTCTTACTGCAATTGAGTCTTCTCTTTATTTCAGCCCTTGTACATTCCCCTTCATTTCATACACAGACAAGCGCTGAGATTAAAGGTGGACACCACCATGCCCACTAAATTGCTCTGGAGCTTTGGAAGCTGCAAGGGCATTGAAACTTGGGGCGCATTCCAGGGGCATCACGGCTCAAGGGGCCACCACAGTCTGAGGGGTATTACATCCCTAGGGGCATGGACCTCCTCTCCCTGGTTAGCTGAGCCTGGCCCCCTAGTGTGTCAGGTGGGCAATGGAGGAAGGTTGGGTTTCTGGCATCCTATCCTGGGTGTAGAAGGCTCTGGAAGAATATGAGGTCAGTGGGAGGTAGGGCGGGAAGAACCTCATCAGAGGATGTTTCTGCAGTGAGATTTGAGGAGCAGGGAGTCTGGGCCATAGCTAATGCTATGACCTGTGTCCCTGGTGGCTTACTTGGGCATGGCAGAGCTGTTGGTGGGATGGCACAGCATTAACTGAGGCTCTGCTGCCTGCTTAATGGGGATGGGCCAGCTGTGCAAGTGCTCCATGGTGCACACTGCAACAGGCACAAGGGAGTTGGTGGTGATTAGGGAATGGCTCCAGGTAGGAGCTAAGCAAAGGCACTGTGATTTAAGAATAAGAACAGGCTTAGAGACACTGTAATTAAAGACCATCCACATCTGATGGTGAAGTCCTGAACTAGAGAGACGACCCTATGGGAGGCAGCACCAGCACACAGTCCATGACCAACTGCTGTTGTATAGAGCTGATGACCTCATTTGTGCTTGGGATGTATCCGCAGACAGAAGCCCTGGAGGACAGCGAGGATGAGGACCAGGACTTTGTGGAAGTCCCAGAGAAAGAAGGTTATGAGCCTCGAATCCCTGACCACCTCCGGGCTGAATATGGTGAGCTGTGGGCAAATGAAGGGCAAGATTGGGCATCAGGGGTACGGAGGAGACAAGTCCCCCATCTGGACAATGCCTCTAGGTTGTGACATCAACCAGGGAGCTTAGCCTTCAGCTTCCCTTGTACAGCTGTTGTATCAGTAATTGTTGCTTTATTTAACTTGGGGAGTTTTTCTTTTGTGCCCCAAACCCCCCAGGGGCCAGCACATGGCAGGCTTCCATCACACAAGGTCTTCTGGGCCATTTGATGCTCTGGCTGTGGGGCAGGGGTGCAGTCTATGGGGATGCCTTTGCTTACATAGGGCCTGCACCAGGATGGAGGGAAGGCAGATACCATGCAAAAAAACATCCCTGCCTTGTGTCTTTGAGGTCACAGGCGTGGCCTCTGACCCAGCAATGTCTGAACCCCATAGCAAGAATCAGCTTGTCGCACATGGCACCACTGTGACAGACAGGAACATCCCATCTAAGATTTTTCTCTTTTCCAAGAACTCTAAAAGCCACACTCTGTGTCCTAGGCTTGTGCCCTCCAGAGAGAAACTTAAAGGGGATCCAGGACCCAGGTCACACCCTCAGGTTATGGCATCGCTTATGTCAAAAGGAAGCAAAGACAAACAAGTACCCTGGCTTCTCTGGGGTAGAATTTGAATTTAGCAAGAGAATTTAAACATGACCCATTGGAGTGTCATGCCAAATTAGCCCAGGCAGACTCACCCCTCTCCACTCTCCCAGCCCTCTGCCCAGAGCCATCTGCTGGGCAGGCTGGCACTTAGGGGTCAGTGAGTGTGTGACTGTCAGGAGGAACCTCCCATACTAAGGGGGTACTGGTAACCCCTTAGCTAAGCATATTCTGGCCTGGCCCACTCTGCAGGAAGGAGTCTCAGTGTTGTAACACCCCATGAAAAGCTCCCTGCCTAGTTGAACTGCCCCCTCTTATACCTGCTTGCCTCTCCTGCTGGTTGTGGGCCCCCTGCCTTGCTGAGCTGTGTATACCCTTTCTCCAGGCTTCAGCCTTGCAATGCTCTCATGGGATTCTTCAGCCTGCAAGTTCATGACCCATGAGCCTCCTCCACCCACACACTTCTCCAAGCACCCATCTCTACCTGAAATGAATTTCACCATCTCCCAACTTATGTTTCCACCTAGTAGAGATACCACATGGTCAGACTCTCACCCAAAGTGGTCACAGCTAAGTGCCACACCTAACTCCTGGGGTACCCAAAAGTGTTTCAGGCATACCATGGGATGACATGGCCACCCTCCTGTGCCCACGGTGGTCTTTGCCCTCTGTTTCTTTTACCCTCAGCTGGATGAGGCCCTGGTCTAGCAAGGTGCTGGTATGGCTGTGGCTACATTTGAGGCCACCGGAGTCTAGAACAGTGGGCTGTGAGATCAGGTGAGGCAGGGACACTTCTCATAGTCCAGGTAGTATGAGTAGCACCTAACTATAGACCATGGTCCTTCTGCTCTTTGGAAGCCACACTTTTCTTCTTAAGCTGGGAAACTCTTGGGATCTTCAGGGGAGCCTGGGAGCCAGCACTGATCCAGGACTCTTGGTCATACCAGCATTTTTTAGCTTTGTTCTCTGTGTCTTATTCTGACGTTTGTATCCTTCACGCAGATGTGGTAAGTCTGACTTTACACGGACTTTGAGTGGCTCCAGGTCACATGTAGTAGGGCCAGCAGTGACACACCAACACTGAGAATTGTTCTTAAAGAACAAAACAGATTCTTTCCATCCTAGGAGAGGATGCCTTTGGGCTGTGGATTGGGAATGGCACCAGTGATGGTGCCAGTGAGGACAGCAGCCTCTATCACAGATGCTGACTCAGTGTCCCCTCTGGAAGCTAGATATACACAGTGAAGCCCTTTTCAGCCACCGGTGGACATTGACAGGGCTAGAGCAAATCCTGTAGTCCTCTGATTGGAGATTGTCCTGTGTCTGCCTATACCTTGATGGCTTGTGACTGCTGACCATTTGAGCCCAGCAAAGGAGGCTGAATTGAAAAATACTTTGAAGCATCTCCCAATGTTACTGCTTGAACACAACCACGGGCCACCTGCTGTGAGGCTACCCGAGTACTGCACAGATGAATCGTAACTGGCTCTGGTTTACAACCCACATCAGTTACAACCCACATCTACTCATGGTCATCCCAGCCTGGCCCAGGCCCCACAACAGAGTTGTATTCCTAATGTGGAATACTCATGATTTTCAATAGAATACTGTTGGCTCCACTACTAAGTGTTCAGTTATTTGTTACATAGCAGCAATAACAACACTGCCCATAGCCCCTGCACCTAGTGCCCATCAGCCCATGTGTCTTTTCTTCAGAGCCTTCCATGTACTCCTGGCCCTGGAAGGGCCTACAAAGCCGGTGAGGGACTTTGTCCCAGCCTAACAGAAAGGCAGAGACCCCGCAGCTTGCTTCACTGTTTGTAATTCAACCTTCTTGGACAGGCTCTAGACATCTGGAAGGCAGTAGTGACCGATGTGGTCTGAACCAGGTGTTGTTTTGTGTTTTCAAAATGACATCAAGTGGAAAACATGGTAGAGGCTGGGTGGGCTGGCAAGGTGTACAGGTAGACCTACAGCAGCCATAATCTGGCCATCAGTGCCACCATGGGACTAAGGGCCACAGGAACCAAGGAAGGGTCGGTCGGTGGGCCCTTGAGGCCAGGGATACAGGACACACCTAGAATGTTTGATGATTCCTGGAGCATTGACATGAGGTGCTGGGGTAAGGAGGACACTAGCCTCGTGGGCAGGACTTATGCCAGGGATGAAAAATGGGAAGCCTCCATCATTGCACCAAATAGAGACTCCCCCGGGAGTCCTGGGAACTAAGCCAGTAGCCTAGGCTGGAGTGTCCAGACAGACAGACAGTGCGCAATGAGCTCAGTTCATAATACGAGTTTATAGTCCATCACTGTTTTTCCAATTAAACACGGGCGAATCTGAAGTGTTAGATTCAGTCTAAATCCACACGGCTGAGGAAATCAGGCTCTTTTTTCTTTCTCATTTCTTTCTCAGAATTTTCACTGAGGGGCTTTTATCTTCCCCTTAATCCTACCATTTCTGTCAGGACATAATCTCTTTCTCAAATTTACATTTTAATTACAAGGCCAGCTGAACTAGGTAAAATCAATAATGTCAGCGCGCGGCAGCCTAACTTTGTGCGGAGCCCCAGCCTCTCCATTTCCTCCTATCGATCCATCTCTCCCGCACTGTCTGCTTTAGTGCTTCAGGCAAATAGGTGCCACTTGGCCAATTTAAACAAAAAAAGGAGCTTTGGACATTTTTATGATTCTTTCTAAAAGCAACTATGGGAGTAAATTTTGGTCAAGGGACTAGAGTCAGGCCCTGCAAGGCCACAGGGCCATGGTGGTCAGCAGAATGATGTCTCATTCTTTTAGGGTTGCACGCCCTCTGGCCTGAGGAGTGTGCTCTGCTTTTGGGGTTTTAACTTTGGAAATATGTCAGTGAGATTGATTTTCCTCAATGGCGTGAAAACAGTGGTGTGTTCGGTGCCCTGAGTGTTTACCCTGCTCTAACACGCTTACCCATCTTCTTAATGGTTTAAAACAACAAATCAATGAAAAATATATTTCATTCTTGTAACTCTTAGGAATTCTCATATTGATCTTTTGGCTGCGATTGTATCTATCTAAATGCCACATTGTTCACTTACCAGCCTTGCCTCCCTGCTGCGTATGTACGTATGCGGGGCTGGGCTAACTGCTGCCTTCCACGTTGCCGGGAACATTGTGATGGGAAACGCTGAAGGTCGCATGGAAGTGTTTGCTACCCGAACCTTGGATGCTGTTTTTAAGGACGGAGCAGAGAAGAGGCTGCCTGGTGTCTTCTGACACAGTGTGCCCAAATCTTAGGACCACAGAGCTCCAGAGCCTGGAGGTAGCTGACTATGACTCCACTACCCGCTCAGAGTGACCCTGCCCAAGTTCGGTGTTCCGTACCATGAGTCTCCAAGAGATAGGAGCCCTTTCCTGTGCATAGCTATACCAGAGCAGAGACAACAGATGTTTCTATGAAGGGCCACCGAGTAAATATTTTGGCTTTCTGGTCTGCGTCAGGTCCCAGTTTAGTTCCATTCCAAAAGATGGCCATAGCTAGGACCAGTAAAACTTTGTCCTCGAAACAGGCAGTGAAGCAGATTTGGCCTGTTGCCTCCAGGGCCCCAGGAAGCCCTGAGGAGCAGCTGGTTGTTTCTGTGCCATGTCAGGCTGACCTCTGCTACGTCAAGCCCATGATGAATCCAGAACTCTGGTGGCTTAATGCTGTGACCCCTCAGAGCTGTAGACTTTGACTTCCCAAGGACCTCACGTACAGTGCGTTGGTCTGCCTTAATGGATGTCTCTTTGTGTGCGTAGACTTTGTTTGGTCTGGTTTTGGAAATAGTGTCTTGCATTGAGTTAAAGCTGCCTCAGCTGAAATCCTCCTCCCTACCTATATCACATACCTGTATCATATACCCAAAACATTCGTTGACCTTGAATCTAGAAATTAATTCACAGACTTAGCATTTTTAATGAATTTTTTTCCTGATTTAGATCCAAATTGGCCTTGGCCTTGAGATTCTCCTACCTCAGTGCTCCAAGTTCTGGATGACAAGTGAGGTCCAGCTTGTACTTTGGCTATTAGGTGCAGCTCCATCCACATTTATCAGACCTTCGTGTATTTTTTTATACTATTTTGTAAACTTCAAATCTACTTTCCTGATATTAACCCGTTTTCTCAGCTGTCTTGATTGTTTATTAGCTTTTTCCTTTTGGCCTCGCAGTAGCTATATATTAGCTGCACACGTTTGACGGGCCCAGTCTGTGTGCTCACAGCTGTATTAGTTCACGTGACAAGTGCTCCTCAGTGTGCTCAGAATTGAGCACCTTTCTGGCTTTGCTGCTGCTGCTACTGTTTGCCTTTTTTCTCTTCTTAAAAATGTATCCTTGTGCCCTTCTGATAGCTATCTCTAATTTTATGATTCACGTATTTTTATCACTCATTGCTTCCATTTATGGTTCTGAGGACAGATCCCAGGGCTGTACACATGTTAAGTATGCTTTCTACCACCAGCCAGCCCTTAGCCCCCTCACACACTATTTTTTTTATGGTTTCTCTACTCTCCTCTGCATAAGTCAAGTGATCAAGGACTGTCTTATCCTACCTCCATGGCACTGGGCCACCCTGGCACCCTGGTATCCTGGTACTCACTGAATTAGTGTTCTGATGTCAGAAGTCATTTGCTCATCATTATCTTGTCTTGCACTTGTGATTTAAGTTTTTTTTCTTGGTGGACCACTTATGCTAAGGGTGTTCTTAAAGAATCTGCAAGTGGTGGTCCTTGTAAAGCCATGGGTCCACAAGACCCCCTTCCTGCACCTGTGGGGGGCCTGACAGCTCAGCAGGCTAATCAACTGTAAGCTCAGCTCTTCTTCCTACATACTTTTTTACTTTTTTCTCTTTTGTGGTACTGAATATGGGACCTAGAGCCTCGCACACACTAGGTACATGCTCTGCCACAACGCTGTATCCCCAGCCCTTCCCTGCACCCTTCCTTCAAGGTGAACTTGCAAGGCCTTAAACTTGCTGCAGCAGCTGAAAGTGCTGCTTCCAATGGAATTTTCAGTTCACCTTTTTCTTTGTTGTCATTAATGTTCTCCAGCTTCCCCTTTCAGCCATAGTTGCCCCTTTGCCTCCTCTGGCAGGCAGCACGTCCTTTAATTTCAAGAAAACTGGCTCATTTCTTCAACTATTTCCCATGCTCCAGTTATATTTTGTTTCCTCTGGGATTCCAGAAACAAGGACACCAGTACCTGTATATCTGCCCTTCCCACCTCTGAGCTGTGCAGTTTTCCTCATGCACACCACCAAGTCCGTCTGCACTTCAGGCACACAAGTAGTTATTCTTCTGCCGCCTTTCCTCTCCTCATCCCTTATAAAAAAATTGTATTTTATGTGTATGGGTTTTTGTCAGCCTGTGTGTTTGTGTGCCATGCGTGTACCTAGTGCCCGAGGAGGCCATAAGAAGGTATCAGGTTCCTGGCACTGGAACCAGGCAGTTGTCAGCTGTCATGAGGAGATTGAACCTGGAGATTGAACCTGGGTCCTCTGAAAGAACAGCCAGTGCTCAGCGCTGAGCCTGCTCTGCTCTCATCCCCTGCTCCTCATCTTTGATAAAAGATGTCTTCAACACCTTTCTTTTCTGACTGCTGGGTGGTACTTTGCTGGCTACAGTCCTCCACATCTCATTTTCCTTCTTGCCCTATCTCAGCTGTGGAGTCTGCTTCATCTAAACAATGGCGCATCATCTGTTCTCTCTCTCTTGGGGCAGAGTGCTCAGAAGCCTGAGGGTTTTTTTTTTTGTCAGTGCAGATCTCACTGGTAGCAGGGCTAGTACCCAGCTGAGGTTGCTCCCACAGTGAATGTGAAAAGTGGGATAACAAGTGGGTAGTGCCTCTGGAGTCCCACTTCAGACTGTGCGCTGGGACTAGCAAGGTCAGAGTTCGCCCCACGTGCAACCTCCTGAGAGCCAGACCCGAGAGTGGGCAGGAAGGGGAGTAAAGTGGCAGGATCCTGCCATCAGAGGTGTAAGAGTAAATACTGAGCTGTGGTTGGTACCATCTGCCATATCCTGTAGAAATCCTGGTGTCAAGTGTCAGCATCATGACCTCCTCTGGCTTGGTAGTAGGGCAGGTATTCCAGGGTGACATCCTGTAGTCAGGGACGTCTGCCCCACAGCCACAGAAAAGATGCTGCAGTCACAGAACCCAGGCCCAACTATAGCTATCCCTGTGGCTTTTGAAGTTTAGGGCAGAAGATGGGAACAACCTTGGGTGTTTCTTCTGAGGACAGTACAGGGGAGAAGATGTACCACTAAGTCTCAGCTTAAATCGTACAGTCACCCTCACACAGAGGCTAGTTTCCTCTCTTCCTTGCTCAGTGAAGGGGGTGAGTCTGGTGTTCGGGGAAGGGAACTGTGTGTTCACACTATAGCTAGATAGTCTCTTTATATAATGACAGGTTTCATATGTCTTAGTTAGGGTTTCTGTTGCTGCAACGAAACACAAGTTGGGGGGTTGGTTTATTTGACTTACACTTCCACATTGCTGCTCATCACTGAAGGAAGTCAGGATAGGAACTCAAGCAGGGCAGAATCCTGGAGGCAGGAGCTGATGCAGAGGCCATGGAGGAGTCCTGCTTATTGACTTGTTCACCATGGCTTGCCTGGCCTGCATTCTTAAAGAACCAAGGACCACTGGCCCAGGGATGGCACTGCCCACCATAGGCTCCAACCTCCCCCATTGATCACTACTCGAGAAAATGCCTACAGCTGGATCTCATGGAGGCATTTCTCCAACTGAGGCCCTTCCTCTTTGATGACTCTAGCTTGTGTCAAGTTGACACACAAAACCAGCCAGTACAAAGTCCATCTTCTTACTGTGGGAAACTGTGGGCAAAGATGACAATGTTGTCAGTCCGTGCTGTGAACAACTCTCAGTAGGCTTCTAGTGACAGTCCTTGTAGGCTAGGGCTGCCTGAGTCATTGCTCTGTGTCCCCTGCATAAGAGTGTGGTCTCTATCTAAGAAGCTGAGGTGACAGGCTTTTCTTGTGCTGTTGAGGAGTGAATGTGTCATGTGTCTGTGCATCTGAGGCCTGGCCGCATGGTGCTTCCCCAGTTTGCCCCGGGTTAGAGAGGGATGTCGAAAGTGGACATGTGTCATTCCAGGGCTGGAGCCAGGAGCCCCACTGAAGACTCTAGAGAAGGGCACAGCTGTGTGCAGCTTACAGGAGAGGACAAGGATGAGAAAGGAAGAGGAGGCATCAGACCCCACCTCTGCAGCTGCCCAGCTGTTGCGGCTCCAGGAATGCTTGCCATCCACCTCATCCTCCTCTCCCGGGTAACTCTAGATGTCCCGTATTGCTGGGCCCACTGCCTAATACTGCTGCCACCTGTTTGGAGCACTGACTGACCTGAACAGGCTGCCCAAGAAACTCCCTCACCAACCTGCTTTGAGAGGTAGTCTGGTGCATGTAACCCTAGACAAGTAGCACCTGTTGACTGGGGCCTGGTGCTCAGCTGGGCCTGCAGCAACCCTCTAGAGGTCCTGCAGCCAGGCCCCATTCTTGAAGAAAATGTCAGGTGACCCCCCCCCCCAACCAGGTAGGTTCACATCACAGATCATCAGAGCCAGTGCTCAGTAGAGCCAGGTTGTTTGCTGGACCTCAGCAGCCATTCTGAAAGCTCAGGCCCCACACAGTTTATTCATGCTTACCCCAGGCTTCTGGGCTACATTGGGGTATGGGAGGGAAAGGCAAGTGGCCACACAAGGAATGGGTACCCCACATGTGCTGATCTGTTTCCAGGGTACCCCTGGAGCCAGAGGAAGCCCAGAAGCAGGCTGAGCGGGCCCGAGCACCCATTGTACCCTTCGGAGTGGACCTGTGTTACTGGGGCCAGGAGAAGCAAACAGCGGGAAAGATCCTTAAGTGAGTCTAACATCTATATCTGGTTCCAGGACTCAGAGCATGGCCTGGCCTTGTATATCTGTTCTCTGGCTCTTAGGACACTGGTACTTGAGCCTTTCCATTGCTTCTTCACAAGGTACCCATAATGTTCCTCCATTACTCAGTGTTAGGGAATAGCTAGAGGGGAAAGCTCAGTCCTGAGACCCTTTCTGGCCATCGCAGCTCTTCCTCAAGTTGCAGAAAGCTAATGAGCACATTACTCTTCTGCCCGCCATTTGCCCCACCATCTCTGAGCAATCAACAGAGGTGCCAGATCTTGGGGCAGCTGGCATCCATGTGCAGAGCCCATAGAATCCTGCCATGTGTTGGGCAGGGGGCCGAGTGACAAAGCCTACCCCATTCTCTGGCATCCAAAGAAAAGTGGCTTTAACAAGGTTTGGTGATGGACTGGGGCTGTAGTTCAGTGGTAGAATGCTTGCCTAGCATGCATGAGGCCTTAGGTTCAATCCCTAGCACTGCCAGGGAATGGACAGGGAAATGAAGATTTGGTGATAGCAAGAGAGTAAAAGCTCCATCCTTTGGGTCCCTTAGCACTGCATCAAGACTGGGCATGAATTTATACATTCTTCTTCCTCTGGTGCCATGTCAGTGTCAGAGCCTGTATTCTCCCACTCAGTGGAAAGAGACCTTTGTCGTGGATTCATGTTACTCTCAAAGCCATGGCCTGAGGGCTCTGGAGCTGCTGTCCTGCCTTGTGAGGAGAATCTAAGCTCAGGCTAGTGGTTATACCCACCATCTTTGGCTGGTTCATAAACAACAGTATTTGAACCCAGTTGGAGTGAGCATGTTCTCTAGTCCACAAAGGCCTCAAGGCCACCAGGGCCCAGTGCTCTCCCCAGGGCTGAGGTACAGTTGGGATGCATTGGGATTGGGCCAGACGTCCTCTTCTGGGCTCAGAGTAGCCACTTTGAGGGTTTTTGGTGCACCTTGCAGATCTGACTCTCAACACCGCTTCTGGAAACCCAGCGAGGTAGAGGAGGAGGTGGACAGTGCCCATGTTTCTGAGATGCTGCATAGCCGACACATTACCTTTGCAGGGAAGTTTGAGCCTGTGCAGCACCAGTGCCGGGCTCTGAAGCCTAATGGCAGGCTCTGTGAGCGCCAGGATCGGCTGAAGGTAAGGCTGGTGGGCAAGGCCATTGGCATGAAGCTATAGCTACCCATGGAGAGGCTGGGCCACCACTAGTGGCCTGGGGAAGTGCTTGTCCTCTCTGCCTCCATTCTAGACCAGGGATCCTTGTGAGCCCTGAGGAGCCCCGTATAAGAGGCCTTATAAGCAGTGTCATCATTGCTTAGCCATCAGAGAATCCTGCCTGGGGTTCTCTGCCCTGGGCCCTGACACTGACTTCTGAGAGACTACTAGAACAGTCAGACTGCTGCTCTGCATCTCGAACCCTGTGTAGGCTGTCCTGAGCCTGGAGAAGGTAGCAGAGTGGAGAGACAGACAGACCCAAGTTCTCAAACTCCTGCTGCTGCCGCTCCCCAGAGCTCCCCCTCATGATTACAGGGTTTGGCCGTGCACTGTCCCCAAAGCTGTTTGTGCTACCTCCTGACCATCGACTGCTCTGTGCTTGTTATATAGTGCCCATTCCATGGGAAGATCATCCCCAGAGATGACAAGGGGCAGCCCCTCAACCCAGAGGACAGAGCCCGTGAACAAAGGCAGCGGTTTCAGCAGCAGCAGGCACATCCAGGTAGGTATGCGGGAGCACAAGACGGGCTGCAGACACAGCCAAGTTGTAGTCGCCAAGTTGCCAATTCCAGTTGAAATCCTAAGCAAGCAGGTAGGGGCTCCATGGGCAAGGCTGGGTACACATGGTGTGAGGTATTTATCTTCAAGGCTCACAACAGGAATGTGGATACTCCTGACTCCACCACCTTATCCACATCTGCACAGTGGGACTGAACCCAGAGTCCTTGATATGCTAGACAAGCACTCCACCACTAAGCTACAGCCCCAGGCTCTGGTTCTTATCCCTGCTTCCTGAGCAGATGCAGGAATTGCAGCAGTCTCTCTCCCCTGAGATGGTCACCTAGAGTCCATGTGGGCTCTCTGCTGGCTCTGACCTGCCCTGCTCAGCTCCAGCTCACCTCACTATCTACATGGGTGGTCAAAGTCAGACTCGTGTTTAAACCTATCTTGGAGGCTGTGGTCAGCCATGGAAGACCCTTCATGGCTTCTTGCCCTGTGGTCCTGAGACACAAATTCCTGTTTCTTCCTGTGCCTAGAAACATGTCTGGGTTGTATAGCAGTGGGGAGGGCCTGACCTGTTCATCCGCGGGAGAAACCTTCCCTGGTGGCTCACACTCAGGAGCAAATTAAGTGCCTATTTTTGTGTCAGCCCTGAAGAGTATCTAGTTTTCCAGCCCTCGGTGGCTTGTTAACAAACAGGTATCAGGCCACGGGCCAAGCCCGGTGCTGGCCAGTCAGATGTGAAATAGCATCTCTTTACTAACTGCAGTATTGATCCCGCCTCCCTCGCACACGGGGCAATTTTCTTTTCCCTGGTGCTAACCTCAGTGACAATGCACGCGGTGCTCCGGGGCCCTTGAGCGCCCAGGAAGGCCGCACAGCCCCAGCGTCTATTGATTTTCTTCAAAGGCTTTTAAATTGCTCCTTCATTTTCCTGAGGTGCTCATTCCATCTCCACTGGATGCCGGCATTTTTTCGTTGTGTTTAAACAATTGCTCCATTCACCAGGTTCCTAAACTGTGACGCCTTCTTATTACTGGGAGATAAACTGTTTAGACAGTTTTCCTTAATCTTGGATTAATCGTCCCTGTATCTGAATCGTGCAGTCCTGAGTTCCTTTACTTCAAAAAAAAAATCAGCTTGGAGAGGCCAAGCCATCTGTCTGTCTGGCGTGCTTGCTTCTCACTCAGTGGACGTACCCTTCTCACAGTCTGGTTTTGCTGCCACCCTGTCCAGGCACTGTTCCCTGTCCACTCTGCCCCAGCTCATGGATCTTTGGCATTTGGATGCATTACAGTAAGGAGTGCCAGGCGCCCTTCTGCCTGCTAGGCTCATCCACAGGCCTGGAAGAGTTAGGTTTAATTTGCCTTCACTCTTCACTAGGCTGACTTTCCCAAGCCAGGCTGGAGCAGTGTCATGCCTAACAGAGCTTAGGGCAGCCTGTGGAGGCGAGCCAGCAGAGGCTGCACAGGGAACTCCAGAGCCCCGGGCTCTGACTCTCAGAGGGGGCTGGTGCTTATTTATGTGGCCAACCATCTCAGCAGCCCTGCACATGAGCAGCGATCTTGCCATGGGTCTGGCCGGGTAGTGATGAGGCTGCTCAATGAACTGGGTGCTGTTCAATTCCCTTGGCTTTCCATAGACCCTTGTGGCTATAACAGGTAGTGCCCAACTCACAGGAGGGGTAACTCTGCTCTGCACTCTGAGGCCCATAACCACATTTCCTGTGTACAGAGAACCCATCTCTAGCCTGCTGTTCCCCTCAACTCTGGATACCCTTGCTTCACAGGCCCAGTAGCCAGCAAATATGTCTGACAGCATTACAGTTGGCCTGGCTGGCCATGGCCCAACCTGCAGCTTGGGAAGTAGCCTGTGGACACTCTGACTCCGTGGCCAGTGGCCTTGAGTACCGTCCTGCTGGAGTGGTCGTGAATGCCAGGAGTAGTGGCCATTGGTGCTGGGCCTGCCTGAATCCTTCCAGCCTGTTCAAGGTGTGGGAAACCTTGGGATACTAGGGGACTAAGTAATAGAAGCAGGGCAGTGGGAATAAGGAAAGAGATTTCCCTGTGTGGCTCTTATTCCCAAGGTAGCCATGTCACTCAGCACGGACCCTCTTAGACTATGTACCAGGGCATGCAGCAGGCAGGCTGCGACCCTCCATCAGGAAGAAACCCACAAGGGTCAGCCCTGGCTGGTGCCAGGCACCTTTTGAAACCCTCAAGTTTTGTGCAGGTTGGCAGGACCCTGAGTTTATGAAGGATGTGGAGGCAGCCACAGGGGTGGACCTCGGCTCATCCAAGTATAGCAAGAAGGGCAAAGGGAAAAAGAAGAAGCACCCCAACCTCACCGACCTGCGAGAGCGTGCCAACACCAGCCGGGCCCGCCTGGAGAAGAAAGTCTTTGCCAAGTAAGAACTCGTCACTGGCCCAAGGCCTCGGGCTTTGGTCTAGGATACATTGAGGGAGAGCCACCTGAGTTGCCAGGAGTTTCTGGTGATTGTATTAGTCAAGGTGATAACCAGAATTAACCATCACAGTGACCTCCAGCCCTGACCAGTAAAAGGCCATGCCAAGAGCTGGTTGGTTACAGAGCCGCAGCTGCTGCCTTGAGTATTCTTCCTAGGAGTCCATAGCCACCTCTGTGTAAGTAGAGCTGGTGGCAGCCAAATGGTCCTAAAAGGCCAGTGCTGGCTTTGCTGTGCCCTGGGTTAGTACCATGCTCACAAGAGGGGTAACTCTGCTCTGCGCTCTGACGTTACAGGAGTGACCTCAGGGAAGACAAACATAGAGCCCCACACTGCTGGGTTCAGATACTTTATCACAGTACTAGTCAGTAAGCTCCTTGGTTAGCCTTGGGTGGGGTGGAGGCTGGGCCGCATGGGCTTCCTGCTTTCTCCTTTTTCTCCTTCTGCTGAGTTCCCTGCCCCTGGACTCAGCCCATGTTCACCATGCCTTCCCTCTGAGGTCAGCCTGGGGTTAGCAAGTGTGCTCTTGCAATTGCCTTCAGGGCTGGGAGACACAGCCAAGGCCCATGGTGGGTTGTAGCTGAGACTGGTGAGCCCCACCTTCCAGACGTCTAGTGCCCACTGGAAGCAAGTCAACCCAGGTCCCCAGGGCCTTGTCACATCCGTAGTCGTCTCTTACTCTGCTCTCTCCACAGGGCAGCCGTGCAGAGAGTAGTTGCTGCCATGAACCAGATGGACCAGAAGAAACATGAGAAGTTTGCAAACCAGTTTAATTATGCGCTGAATTGAAAGGGTGTGGGTGAATGTGCTGTGGTCCCCTTTGACCTTCAGCTTACTAGGATAGGAGGATAGATAGATAGGATAGAGAATATCAGAATTTGTTTTTTATGAGTGTATAAGTAATAATGGAAAAGGATACATTAAAACACTCTTCAGGAAGCCAGGGAATGTAGCTTAGTGGTAAGGCCAGAGTATGGTTCCAACAATTCTAACCATGCATATGGCACACACCTATAATCCCAGCACTTGGGGGCATAAACAGGACTGAGTTCTAGGCCAGTATGGATTAGAAAGGCTGCTTGAAAAGCAGCAGAAAGCTGTACGAGGTGACGTACACCTGTAATCCTAGCACTTCGGAGGCAGAGCAGAAGAATCAACATAAGGTAAAAACTAGCCGAGTATACGTAGTCAGTTACAGGCCAGTCAGACTTCATAAGGAGAGTGTTTCTGGAGGCGGGGATCCCCTCAGCAGAGCCTACAGCATTGGAGTTCAGGGGTCAAGGCAGGCATCCCATCTGGTTGCAGGTCAGGCCTTGGGCATAAGTGTGTCTCCATTAGGGCTATGTACTTACGATGGCTTTAGAAGCCCACTCTTTCGTGCGCATGCTGTTTAATACAGATGCACAACTCTTAGCACAGAACTCTGTGGAATGGCTCTGTTGAACCCTAACTCACATATCAGCTCACCTAGTACAGGCACAGATGTGTAACCAGTGACACTATCTGCTCCCAGAACTTTATCCTCTAGGATGAATTGCCTGCCCACCCCATCCCTGAGCCCCCTGTTTCAGGATTTGTGTTTTCTAGAATAATGGGGTCTGTCACTTTTTGTTTTTGCTTTTTGTTTTTTGTTTTTTGTTTGAGATATGGTCTCTTCATGTAGTTCTGACATTCTTGGAGCTCAGATGTAGACCAGGCTGTTCTCAAACTCACAGAGGTACTTACTCCCACCTCTACCACTTGAGTACTGAGATTAAAGGAGTAAGGCCATGTGCCACCACTCCTGACTGAGTCCAGAGCCTTTTGTTTCTGGCTTCTTTCCCTTTATTTTAAGGTTCTTCCATATTGTAATACATACTAATACTTCATGTCCACCAAGCCAGCCTTACAGAGAATACTAGAAGTAATACTTTGGACTGAAGAGAGGAATACGCATAGTTAAGAGACTACAGAAAGAAAATAAGTGAAGCTGTAATTACTGAAATATAAAATAGGACGAAGAACACAAAAAGCAAAACAACACTTTAAATGGTGACTATAACAGCTTCGGCTCCAGTCAAGAGATGCTGATTAGTTGACTAGATTAAGAACTCACCTTCTGGCTGGGCAGTGGTGGCACACGCCTCTAATCCCAGCACTCGGGAGGCAGAGGCAGAGGCAGGTGGATCTCTGCGAGTTTGAGACCAGCCTGGTCTACAAGAGCTAGTTCCAGGACAGGCCCAAAAGCTACAGAGAAACCCTGTCCAAAAAAAACCCAAAAAATTCACCTTCATGCGAAGGATGGAAAAAGTGTTCTGAACGAATGGGAGCAGGAGCAGCGGGTCTGCTGTATAAACCAGGTGAACCTTGAACTCAGAGATCTTCCTGCTTCCGCCTTCCAAGTGGTGAAATTAAAGCCATGTGCCACCTTGACAGGTCAGTACTGCTGTTTTAATATCTGACAAAATAACCGGGTGGTGATGGCACATGCTTTTAATCCTAGCACTTAGGAGGTAGAGGCAGGTGGATCTCCATGAGTTCAAGGCCAGTCTGGTAAACATGGTGAGTTCCAGGAACAGCCAGGGCTACACAAAGAAACCCTGTCTCAAAAAACATATATATTTCAGACTAAAATTAATCAAAAGAGATTAAGAAAAACACTTCATTCTAATCAAGAAGACAATTGATCAGGAATACATTACAGTTCTGTATGCACCAAACTCTGGCATACCCAATTTCATAAGAAATATACTATTGAATTTAAAGGCACAGATTACTCTAGTTCAGTATTAGTGAGTGATTTCAGTACCGCACTTTGTCCAGTAGACAGGTCATCTGGATGAAAAAAATAAACAGGAACATCAGAATTAAGTGATATCATACATCAAATGGAACTAACGAATATGTACAGAAGGTTTCACCCAGACACTAAAGAATATACATTCTACTAAGCAGGCCATGAATACTTCTCTAAAATAGATAACATAGGCCAGGAGGTGGTGGCACATGCCTTTAATCCAAGTACTCAGGAGAGAGAGGGAGACAGATTTCTGAGTTCTAGATCAGCCTACTCTACAGAGTGAGTTCCAGGAGAGCCAGGGCTACACAGAGAAACCCTGTCTCAATGCCCCCCCCCAAAAGAAATGAGAAAAAGACATAAATAAGTGCCTTCATGATGTAATTCAACAATTTGGAAAAACAAGAACCCAAATCCAATAGAGAGGAATAAATAATAAAAAACAGCATAAATTAATGAAATCCAAAGAAAACAATATAAAAATTTAATGATCCTAAAGCTGATTCTTTAACAAACTATGAGCAAATCCTTGCCCCAACTACCCAAAAGAAGCAAAGATAAGATTTAAATGGATAGAGTTAGAGTTTAACAGGGAAACCTCACAACAAATACCAATGAAGTTCAGAGGACTGTAAGGGAGCACTCCAAACCCACTCTCCATTAAGTTAGAGACTCTAGAAGTGGACAGGACACGTATATGGCGCCCCTGTGTGCAAGCAAAACACCCATGCATACATTTTTAGAAGAATGTTTTTATGTGATGGATGTTTTACCTACATGTATGTGTGCATCATGTTTATCCTGGTTCTACAGAGGCTAGAGGAGGGGAATCAAATCCCCTGGAACTAGAGTTACAGTTATTAGCTGGTTTGTGGGTGCTGGGAATTGAATCTGAGACCTCTGGAAGAACAGCCAGTGTTCTTAACTGCTGAGCCAACTTGTATCTAGCCTCACATTTTTCTTTTCTTTCTTCCTTCCTTCCTTGTTTCTTTCCTTTCATTTTTCTTTGAAGCCTGTCCTAGAACTCACTTTGTAGACCAGGCTGGCCTTGAACTCACAGAGATCCTCCTGTCTCTGCCTCAGTGCTGGGATTAAAGGTGTGCACCACGACAGCCCGGCCATCATTTTTCTTTTTTAATGTTAGCAATATAATGTTAGTGAAAAGTATACCTTACGGTTTTGCTTTTTGTTTTTCTAATGACTCATGGCAGTATTGGTGTTTATTGGCCACTTGTATCTGCTCAAATAACTTCTCATTATCAGTTGGGTGGTCTTGTAGGAGTTTTTGTAGATATTCTAAACACTGCATCCCTATATAATTTGCAAATATTTTTCTCCTTATCTTTTCACCTTGATAGTGCCCTTTAAAGTCAAGTTCTTAATCTCCTTAAATTACAGTGTGTGTGTGTGTGTGTGTGTGTGTGTGTGTGTGTGTGTGTACACGTATATAAGGAGGTCAGAAGACAGCCTTCAAAAGTCCATTCTCTTCTTACACCATATGGGTTCTGGGGATTGATCAGGTCGGAAGGCTTAACAGCAGGTGCCTTTACTCACTGAACCATCTCACTGGCCCTAAAGTTTTTCATTTTAATAAAGTTTATTTATATATTTTTGTCGTTTGTACTATTGGTATCCTTTCTAACATATATTTTATATATAAACATATATATTGCTCAATTTCAAGTCACAGAGATTTACTCCTAGGTGTTCTTCTGAGAGATTTATTTATTTATTTATTTATTTGAGACAGGATTTCTCTGTAGCTTTTGAGCTTGTCCTGGAACTAGCTCTTGTAGACCAGGTTGGCCTCAAACTCACAGAGATCCGCCTGCCTCTGCTTCCCAAGTGCTGGGATTTAAGGCAGAGCCACCACCGCCTGGCATTTTGAGACAGAGTCTTTCTACATAGCCCTGGCTGTACTGGAACTCACTGTGTAGACCAGGCTAGTCTCCACCTAACAGCTCTGCCTTCCTCTGCCTCCTGGGTCCTGTGATTAAAGGAGTGAGGCACCACACCTGGCTCTCTTTTGAGGATTGTATAGTTTTAGCTCATACATGTCATGTTCTGACCCATTTTGAGTCAAGTTTTGTGTGTACTGTGAGCTGCGCCAACTACATTGTTTGCGTTCAGGACTTGCACCTTTGGTGGGAAGATTACCCTTTCCCTTTAGCTCATCTTTTGATTGCTGCCATTGTAATCACTGGCCACTGCCTTAGGGTTACTCTAACTGTGGTGAAACACCATGGCCAAAGCAAGGTGGGGAGGAAAAGGTTTGTTCAACTTAAGTTTCCGCATCAGAGTTCATCATCAAAGGAAGTCAGGACAGGAACTCTCATAGGGAAGGAGCCTGGAGGCAGGAGCTGTTGTAGAGGCCTTGAAGGGGTGCTGCTTTTTGGCTTGCTCAGCCTGCTTTCTTATAGAACCTAGGACCATCAGCCCAGGGATAGCACCACCCACAGTTGGGCTGGGTTCTCCTCCATCAATCAATCACTAGTTAAGGAATAGAAGCTTACCCTACTACAGATCTTATATAGGCATTTTCTCAATCGAGGCTCCCTCCTCTCTGATGACTCTAGCTCGTGACAAGCTGACAAAATAGCCATCGACCTGAACACGGATGTGTGGTTTGTTTCTGGGCTCCAGTTCCTTCTCCCACTGACAGCCACAGCACTGTGCTCCTTAACTACTGTAGCTACATGGATGGTAAAGTTTGGGTTGCATAGGTGTGAGCATTCCTGCTCTTATGTTCCCAGATTTGGCTTTTCTGAGTCCATATATTTCCAAGTGAATTTTAGATCAGTTTTTCAGGGAGGCCTATCTCCCAGGAGGTAAAATTTTGACAGGGATTTTCATTCAATTTGATATCACTTTGGGAAATTGTGACCTCCTAATACTAAAACTTATGATTCATGAACTTCTGATAGCATTTTGTTTAATTGAGTTGTTTATTTTCAGTGTTTTACAGATTTTTTTATAGGTTGCTTATTTTTTTAAAAAAATCCCTAAGTACTTGAATGCTTTTATAAATATGATTGTTCTAAGTTCTGTGTTTAGATTATTTGTTGCTAATGTATAGAAGTACAGTTGATTTTTTTATTTTGATAGTGTATCCTGCCACTTTGTGAAGCTTTTCTGTTAGTTCTAATAGCAATGTGTATTTCTGTGTGTTCCTTAGAATTCGCTATGCACAGTCCTGGTATCCATAAATAGAGATGTTCTTTCCAGACAGAGTTCGTTCTTCCTCCCTTTCTCCCCTCCCCCTCCCCCTCTTGTGCTAATTGCTCTGGTCAGCACCTCCCGTCCAGTGTTGAGTGGATGTGAGGAGCACTGAGAGTTCCATCTCGCTCCTGGCCTCCCACACATGCACTGAGTGTGATATTAGCTGTGGATTTTTTGTAGATCCTCTTTATCATGTTTTTTCTTTTTAATTTTGATGAAGTCATTTTATTTTTTTCTTTTGTTGCTTGTGGTTTTGGTATCATTTCAAAGAAACCACTGCCTAACTTCAAGCCACGAAGATTTACTACATTTTTCTGAGAGCTGATTTTTGTCATTGTTTTTCTTTCTTTCTTTTTTTGGTTTGTTTGCTTTGCTTTGCTTTGCTTTGCTTTGCTTTGCTTTGCTTTGCTTTGCTTTGCTTTGCTTTGCTTTGCAACAGGGTCTCACTATGTAGCTCTGGCTGACCTGAAACTCCCAGAGCTCCACCTGCCTTTGTGTCCCTAGTGCTGAGATTAAAGACATTTACTACACCTCAGGGCCAGTGAGAGTCGTATAGTTTTAGTCTCTGTGTATAGAGTGAACTTTTGTGTGTGTTCTTGAGAGTTTTGTATTAAATGGTTCAATTTTATAAAATGCTTTTGCTCACTGCTAAATGCTTTTCCTGTATTTACTAAATTGATCATATGACTGTCCAGACAGATGCAATGTATGATATACTGCTCATATATTGAACTAGCTGGACGGTAGTGGTGGATCTTACTCAGTAGATCAGGCTGGCCTTGAACTCAGAGATCTGCAGGCCTCTCCTCCTGAGTGCTGGGTTTAAGGGCGTGCACAACTACTGCCTAGTTTCATGTTATGATATTTTTCCATGTTTTCATTTTATAGGTTTCCACTCAGATTTTAATTATTTCTTTTGGATTGTTTTGGACATGATTTTCTGTTCCTTTTTATATATCTTAAGTTAGAAACAATTAGCTTATTGATTTAAAAATCTTTTATTTAGTAGAGGTATATTTATAGAGGTAAGTTTTGATCTAAGCATTTTACATTGATCTTTTAAATTTTTTCATGTTGTGTTTTTGTCTTTTAAATTTTTGTTTCGAGATCTCCTGAGTAAATTGGGAGCATGGGGATCAAGGGGAGCGGGGAGGAAGTGAAGAGAGCATAGAAAAATATATAGCTCAATAAAAACAATTAAAAAAATTTTTTTGCTTTGTTTTTGAGACAGGGTCTTACCCAGGCTAAGCTTAAACCCCCATCCTCCTGCCTCCATCTCTCAAGCACTGGGATTCAAGGCGTATGCCGCCACACCCAGAACTTGTTTAAAATTTCCAAGAACTTTCTCATTTCTCAGTTATTCTTTTCTCAGTTGATTAGATGTTTGTTGCTTGATTTTCATAAACATAAGACAGCC